TCTCGACGCAAGAAAGAAATACTTACATTTCTAAATGGATAAGGTGCTTGAGTAGCATGAATCAATTATGACGCATCCTACAGGCTACACTAACGTACTTTATTATCAACGTTGGGCATAAAATCGTAATGTGGCGTGACTGCGATGACCTCACCAGCTCACCTCATAGATTTCGGCTATAAGTCTGAGTAAGTTTTGGCGAATTATATTATCAGTCGACCGCACTAAATAAATGACTATGAACCATGCCAATTTATAGGAATTTTCAGGAAATTTATGAATACAGGCGGCAAACTAATGACGTTATCTCGGCATTATTGGCAATAAACACTCAAAAAAGTAAAAAGAGCATATTTCTTGATTCTGGTATTTTTAAACGACTAGTTTTTTCCAGTTTAATTAGAAGCAACATGCTCTGATTAGCGGAGCAAGCCCCGTGCGGTACGGGCCGAGTAACGAGATATGTGCGGGACGTATTTATGTTAACTAACACCTCACCGCAAACCAATACAGCGCTACTTATCTACCTCGGTACACAACTCATTAGATACCTCAAGATTGGGTACTTCACAACTATGAAGGTAGGTAAGGCCGGCTGGTGGATATTCGCAATGTTTCCCAACTTCTCATGTGATGGTTCCCAATTAAATGAACCTTTCCGAATTGATATTGAAACGCCTCAGATCCCTTTCAAGTTCTTCTGATCCTCGTTAATTACCTAATGAAAGGGTTCTATTTTGTCTTTATTTTACCAACAAATTAGGAGTTCTGAATTCGAAGCCAAAAACAGTCTTTGGTAGTCTTAAATACCTGAATAGTATTTACTAAGTAATCTGCTCGTTAAGTCTAGATTAAGTAATTTAAAAGCAGATACTGGTCTGCTAGAATGGATACTTACGTTCCTTTTTGGGGGCTTAATTTGTTATTGAATAGGTACACTTTTTGCAATGTTTACATGTTGCATAGATATTCGTTTATCTTGTGTACACAAACACATTATGTATGTACATACATAACAAGTTATCCTCAAAACAGGATATTATGTATATGGGTATTATCCATTGTAAACTTCCTACAACACTAGACTGTTTCGGTGCATCGGATGCTTCAGCTACCAGTTATCGGTTGCAAAACCTTGAAAAACCTGCCATGGATAAACAAGGACTGCCCTATTGAGGCCAATTGATAAATACTGCGCTATAATTTATTGTTCGATAAACTTCAATTTACATTTATTTAAAGAGCGGACATTTTCACTTTGTGTACATTTACAGAATGTTGTGTAACGCGGTTTTAATGTGTAGTAAGGAGGACGCCCTGAATCTTGAAACTTTGTCGCAGTTTGGCGAAACTGTTACTCAGAAATAGAGTTTTACTTTGTTTGGCAGTTTTGTACTGACGTGTCCTTATTTAGAAGTTCCTCGGTGTTTGGGAACACAATCAGTTTATTTTGGAATCTAAATATATGGATAAGTTCTGTGCCAAACTGTCGCCTTCCAAATGTTCCAGGTGCCAAATCTAAATGCCAAACTTCTATGCACTTCCTACTGGATGCTGAAGTGCACGCCTGTTGCCAGAACTAACGTTTTCATCAATTACTCCTACTTTGACAATCTCTTTTATAGTATTCATAGCTTCACAGGCCATTACGTTTGTTAGGCACTCAAAACAGTCGTAAAGTTCAGAATTCTCGTAAAATTGATCCGGTTGTTTGTTTACATTAAAAATATGAAGTTCTTCCCACACAAACATGTGCTCCGAAATTTCGTAAAGAAAGTTTCGTGTAAACATCAATTTTCTTTGAACATCTTGCCTTGATGGCAGTTGTTTCTCTTCGGCTGCAATATTGTTTGTTTGACTTTATCCCCATCCTTCGCAAATATCTGTAATGTAATCTTCAAAACGGATTTGTTTGGGGACCTCGAAAGAGTTTCCGACGTTTTTTTTTTGTATTTACGAAGTTATCCAATTTAAAGTTAGTTAACTTACTAACGTCGTCTCAAGAACTTTGTAAGGAAAAAGTTTTTGACTTCTTATCTCAAAGGATTAAGTAATGTTGAATGAGGTAGGTATAGTGGTCCTACGTTATAAATATGAGCCTATTATGTATTCTAAAGAAGATCACAATGCTAAGTACCTACCTATTGGAATGTCTGATAAGTCCACGCCCTAGCCGGCTACTGCCGCTGGCTGAATTGAGTAATTGAGCCAAACAATGAGTAATCTTCAATGAGGAATTGTATTCTTAGCTATGAATATAGTATGTAATGCAAGCAGTATCCTATTATTCAATGTAGATAATTTTACGAAGATTTTATTGCCAATCTCCAAACTTGGGCGTGGAAATTTTAAAGTGCTTATCATTAACTGCTTTTGGAGTGCAAGAGGTATTTTATTTCGAAACTTTGACTTTGTGTAAATTTTGCGAGTCGCAATTATGTTATCATGTCTCTGTGCACCACCCCAACATGTTCCACAGGTTTCGTATTTATCAACACACAGGTAAAACCGGAATGTAGGTACGTGGCGCCCTTGTGACGAAATATTACTCACTTTGTTTCACTGAATTCTTTTATCGTTTAACAGACGAAGCAGTTATTAAAGTTACAAGCATCAAGCAATTTGATTTGAATTTCAATTGCTGTAATTACTGCTTTGTAAATTGCTTAGAGTCATAAAGAAAGCTATTATAATTTTACAGCCTATCGCTTGGCAGGGGTACCTATCACAAGGAAGCATCTTTGGTCCCATGCGTTTAATAAATCAAACCAACTCTATAGATTGTAGGGATACGCGTCACAGAGATTTGTCATCGTCTCATTAAAATGTGTATTTATTTGTCTGTCCATGAACTCAACACTAAACAATTCGCTAAGAATGTTGTTAGAGGTTGAAAAATATGTAATGTGCAAATACAAGTGGTATAAAAATATTTATGCAGTAAGCAGATGCCTTTGTATAGTTGATGGCTACGAATAGGTCAAGTATTCAGGCTTTAACACGACTCAATGATACTGCGCAGCTATAATAACTTACTATGCACAATAAACAATTAAATAATTTGTAAGGCAAGTCAGTCAATGACCCTCGTTTGCTAAACAAACAAGTAAAACTGGTTGCTATTATAATGGTATTATGTCAATCAACCATATCAACACGAATTGTGTTATACTATCGACAAACTGTTATAGTCTGTTTTCTATTTTGCAAATGACATTTCTGGAACATTCTATTGCAGGACGCGTTACTAGAATAGACTTTATCCTCGTTTTATTATTACTTGTAAGCTTATTATTAGGTTTGACGCTTTGATTCATCATTACCTCATGCATACCACATGTATCTATAAACTATTATGGTTTGATACGTTTACATTAATTTAAAACTAACTTGCTTTGTATTTGAGTAGGCAAGTCACGCCATTTTTGGCAAGATTTCGCGGGAGGTGTGTCATTGACGTATGAAGAATCACTATGATTCAATTCGCTATCTCTAAAGCGAAGTTCTCTCTTAGTTTAATTCCCAAAAATCTTATTAATGTAGTGATCAAACTCCCTTATGATATGACACGAATCCTGAACAAACATCCTTTTAGAAACAAAAGATTGTTTCCCTGTCCACAGGATGTATTCTGGTTTAGTATACACACCGAGTTGTCGGCAACAATGACCCCGTGTTTTAATATGCGACGAGCGTTAGCTACGATTGCGGGCGGCCGTGCCTCGCTCATCATAGCATTGGGAATACAGGCTGGCAGAAAAATACCAGAGACCATTTTTATTTTTGTAAGCTAAAGGGACGCTAAGGGTGTTCTAGTAATTGGATTTGAGTAATAAATTAAATCTAAACGCATAAAATATTTCTGTAATAGCAACTTGTAGTTGTAACGTGAAGGACACGATAACCTGATTTCAGATAATTTTTTACTTGATTTTTTCAGAGAAATGATTCCAAATTCTTCGTCGTAATGAGACGGTAGCAGCATAGTTTGTTTTCATCTTACATTACATGTGGGCGAAGGTATAAACAGTTAGCTTACCAACAATGGCTGTGGTACGCATATTATGCTTGGTAAACTGCCGTTAGTTCACTCTCCGCTCGACAAGCGATTTGTAATTGAAGAGGTCGCGGTAACCGTGGCGAAAGACAGTTAATCCATGGACTAATGATGTTCAATGAATAAGAAATAATTAATATTTTCTAGATCTTGTGTTGTTACAATACTTACAATATTCTGTGTAGGTAATATCACTGTTTCACCGTCTGGCGACTCATAGGTAAATGAGAGGAAATGAATGAACGAATTTATACAATACAAGATATTAAAATTGTTTTAGAAAACGCACTAAGTTTGTGTACTAAGGAACGTAAAGTTCATTAACATTTATACATAGTGCACTATGTATTTGGAACTGTTGGAAACGTATCGATAACTAGGTACTTATTTCTTGTAAACTACGTTTCTTATCGATTGTTTGTTAGTAACCTATGGGCGTCAGTCTACCAGCGTCGCTAAGCCCGCTAATGCGATGTTTCATCGACAACCAATTTAGTTCGCCAGCGATACGTGAAAGCCGTACACCCACATCCAATGTAACTTCTAACATTCTTTTACGTCGTTTAAATGCGTTTCTTCTGACTCACTTTTAACAACATTGACTCAATTGTCGAGCTAAATACAAACAAAGGAAATTGTAGAGGCCTACATTTATTAATTAATTTGACAATTAAGCACTAGGAATAGGTAGATACTTAAGTATTTAGCAAGCAAGCTAAGTATGTGTAAGTTAAATAAAACTATTTATTTTAAAGGTCAAAAGCCTTTTTGACAGCCGATAAACCAAAGGCCAAAGTTTTTTTTGCAGGTACCTACTGATTAAAAATTTAACTTTCGCCTCTAAAATCTAGGCACTGTTCTTGGTCCATAAAATGTTGAAATGTTATATAGGTACCTACTTACTTTTTATCTTTATCTAAATTCCACTATCTCTTGATTTCAGATTTATAAACAATGGCGTGCTCAGTAGATGCCCCCTCCCTCAAGGACCTGCCCAAGGTAGCCAACGACCTGAAGAGTCAGTTGGAAGGCTTCAACCAGAGCTGCCTGCGTGACGTAGACACTAATGAGAAGATTGTGCTGCCATCTGCCGAAGGTATGTTCATTACATGATATAGACGGAGACGCGTAATGACCAGAATATTTTTAATATTAAATATTAGTGAAGGTTTTTGGGAGACGGCGCTGGGGTATCTATATGGTGTGGTAACTATTGACACTTCTTAGAATTTGGATAAATTAGAGATTATTGGCACAGGTTCACTTATTCAGATTTACATAGAACTCAGTTGTTTGAATTTATCTTAATTATAAGATATTTAAGTACCTACTTGAAGTTTTTAGACTAGTATGTCACTGGCCGAAATACAGCAAGACGCCCATCATGTGAGTTGTGCTGTGGATTATAAAATAAGTAGGTATTTACCTACATGTCAGGAATTGGAAGAAATATTCATAATCCTACCTACTTACTTAACGGATTATCATTAAAGATTAAGTATTAATCCGCCTTATCTAAAATCCATAACAGATCACTAAGAACACAAATCTAGAGTCACATAACATACCTACTGAACATGCTTTCATTGAAAACAACATTCCGTGAGTAAAAGTTAGGTATTTTGAAACGGAGTAACAAATAATTTCATTCACAACAGACGTAGCGCAAGAAAAGCAACACAACGCGCTACTTCAAGGCGTAGAACAATTTCAACCATCCTCCCTCAGGAAAACGGAGACGGTGGAAAAAAATGTGCTTCCGAACGCACTAGGTATATCACTGGTGGGAATGCCGCTCCACTAATAAATAATAGCGAGCCGCAATACGCCTGTGAGACGTGGCTGCTTGTGCTCATCGCATTCCTTCTAATTTTAACTGGGGAACTAAACCAGGGGAAACTATGAAACTAATATGTATTTTACGACTCATTGCAGTGCAGTTATTGTTGTAATTCTAACTATCTTCAACGTTTTACTAAAATAATAACGGGCATGTTTTTAGACGTTGTGAGAGTGCGCCAAATTTTTAAATTTAAATATTTGAATGTTCTTCCTAACACCAATTGTCTATGGTTTACAGATGTTGCCACTGAAAAAACTCAAAAGTCCCTGTTCGATGGCATTGAAAAGTTCGATGCTACCAGGTTGAAGCACACAGAAACACAGGAAAAGAACCCTCTTCCTGACAAAGATGGTATGTTTTTAAGATTTTCGCCTATCAACACCAGCACCACTAAACTAAGTTATGCATGTATATGTGCAATTTTACATAATTTATTAAATCCGTATCTCTAATCTCATACGTTCCTATATGGAGATTATCCAAAGTTTCCAGTAGGTATAACTTCACAATTATACGTACTGGAAACTGGATAATTATAAGCAGTTTTAATGACTCAAGAAGTCAAAACTCATTAGCTTATCAATGTTTTTGTGACTACGGTATGACACGCTTTTTATTTCATCTAAGCACATGCGTATCGTGTCTATCCCAATTAGCATGTAAATGTGGCCTTACTTGAATGATTGTGTTACAAATACGAGAGATTTCAATGCTTTTATTATTTACTCGTATTTATTATGTTTTGCCTTGCACGATTTGCTTTGCATCAGTTGTTGCCGCGGAGAAACAGCACCAGAATCTATTGGACGGCGTTGAACACTTCGACAAGACCCAGATGAAGCATACCACGACAGAAGAAAAGAACCCATTACCGCCTATTGAAGGTTTATTTTTGCTGCTTTATAATTTTATGCCTAGTGCCTACTCAATGTATAATATTTTCATTTACGTTTTTGTGTGAGCGCCCTGCTGCTTCATGCCTTTTATAACTTTATTTTTACGTAACCAATATTCTACAAATCTCTATCCTTTTTAAGGTAAAAACAATCAATAATCTGCAGACAGACATAGTACAATGATTACACAACTGACTACTATGCGACGTATTGTAGGTTCGATTTCTGCATTGAACAATTGTTCGTGTGTCCATAAATTGCTATAAAGTCCAATGTAAAATATCTTTACACTCCTTACTCATCAGTCCACTACTCAGAATCAGAGTAATCTAAAAACTCACTAAATTCTTTTTATGGCCTGTTTGACAAAATACAGATTTTTTTTGTTTCTGATTTCCCTGGTCAATCAGTCAGGGCAAAATAACTAAAAACGGAGTCGTGATATAGGTACATTTCAGTCTGTTACTCCTATCATACTCAATTTTTTTATGAGATAAGCCGGTAAACGGGCAGACGGTTCACCTAATGGTAAGCAATCGGCGTCGTCCATGGACACCCAAATCACCAGAGGCGTTACAAGTGCGTTACCGGCCTTTTGAAAATTAGGAGTTTGAGTATTGTTGGGGATTCGAGGATTTGGGAGACTTGGGAAGGGGGTAATTGGGCCTCCGGTAACATCACTCACACGACGAAACACAATGCAAGCGTTGTTTCACGTCTATTTTCTGTGAGGCCGTGGTATCACTCCGGTCGAGCCGGCCCATTCTTGTCGAAGCATGGCTCTCCAACACTTAAATTATACTCTTTTACCGAATTTGAAACTATTCTTCACTTTTTAAGCCTAACGATAGGTATTGTAATTATTTAATCGTCTAATTTATTTAGTATTAATGTATGTATGTACCTACGAAAGAATCCACTAACACGAATTATTTCACTCACAGCTATTGAGGCGGAGAAGGAGAAGAACAAATTCTTGAACGGCATTGAGAACTTCGACCCTACCAAGCTGAAGCACACTGAGACGTGCGAGAAGAACCCTCTCCCCACCAAGGACGTCATCGAGCAGGAGAAAACAGCCTGAACATCCTCATTAAATAACCACTTGCAACTATATCTCGCTAGTATCGCCCGTATTTTAAACTCGATGTAAGTCATAGGCCTGTTTGCGGCGTCCGTTTTAACAAGTCTTTATTTTATCTAATGACAGGTTCGATTAGACTTAGAATGGACTTTGTAAACTGGTCCTTATCATTAGTTTATAGGAACCAAATTTTCTATGTCACTTTTTAACGGTATATGTATATTTAATAAGCGTATTTTACGAGCATTTTATAATTTAATTTATATTGAAAAGAGTATTATGTATGAATGTCTAGTACTGATTTATTTAAGTCGGGAACACACTGCACTCCAATATTGTTTAATTCAGTTTCATTCTGTGCTTGTGTTCTCCCTTAGGTTGAATTATGCATCTGCGCGTGTGTGACGCTCTGGTCAATAAATTAGGAGTGTAGTTACCAAATTTCATTTGGATCTAAATTTTTAAACATTATTTCTGCGTTGATATGGTATTTTTGCATTGTATTAACTTAGAAATATAGTAATAATAATAATATAATCATCGAATGTAGTACTGTAACAATATTACTTGCTCAACCATTTTGTGGTGTAAGTGTTTGGTCTAAATCCAAAAGAAAAGCAATAGTTTGTCTAAGCAATGATGTCAACAGTCATAATTTTTATATCATATACAATAATTAATCAAACATTTTTCCATTTTTATAATAATGCTGTCAATGCCAATAAACCATTTTTACCGGAATTTTGTATGTTTTACAGACGGTGCTTTTTATAAATATAGAATAAAAGTATACATTCGTTTTATTTACCTATTGTAATGTATTAATATACATAACATAATAATATACCCGAATTGAACGACACATAGCATAATACTACTAATAGGTACATACACTGGGCAATCAGACTCATCAGCTGGACTTTGTAAACACTAATATCATGTAACAGTTGAAAAATACTATTTATTTATATAATATTTTATCGACCCGGGAACCAAACTGAAGACTGCTTGCAATCTATGAATATTAGAATAAGAATCAAGCAATCTTTTAATACGCAATAGAAATGAATTTCCATATAATAATATGACTCAATATGGCTGTCAATGACCATACATCGAACAAAACAAAAATTACCACGAAATGTGAAAAAAATAAAATACCACACATTTTTTGCATGGATCTTGTAAAATAATAGACAATATAAATCTTTCACTAGTCTTTGACATTTGATTCATTGATATAAATAAATTGAAATACCGTAATAATTCCAACTTTATATTTTTTTACGAAAACAATAGTTCTATTATTTTAATAATTTCATCAAGTAATTATTTACAACATTTATTAAAGAGTTTGTATTGTCTGTTTCATGGTCTATGCTTTTTCTAGCGCGTTTCATAGTACGCATCGGAACATAATCTAGCATTCATAGACAAAAAATGAAATAGCAAGATACGACGATAAACGTTGTCAGAAAGAGACATAAAGCGTTATCAGGAATGCGCTTCCAGTGTGGTAACATTCAGTTTTTTGCAATAGATGCCGTCTGCCGTCTTGTAAATTTTGATTTGCTTCCCGCCGGCTCTTGACGGTTTGCATTTGGCACGTGCAGTTTTCTTTATATTTCCATAAAATACAACTTCGCACATACTACAAAGTTCAACACTGATGCTGGCAGTTGGGATTTACTATTTCAGTAAGTGTTTTCATATTATTTTAGCGACATTTGTAAGATTTAACATTTGCACGTGTTGTATATCGTAGACAGCAAAACAACCATTTGCATTCTTCATGACGGTATAGCTACGATATGGTTTTTTGGATACATAATCTGTTTATTTACTGTATCTTGTGTCTTCATTGAGCCTAAAGTAAGACGGTCTCTTCGAAATATTTGGCGGATATGTAGATCGAAGCGGCAGCGTCATTTGTTTTTGTTTACCTGCAGATTGTTAGCAGTGTACAATGTCGCCTTCCCCGATCCGCTGTCGCGGGCCGTGGAAGATACACAAGCGTTCCTCGGAGCCGGACAGGTGGTTGGATGAGATGGGATTTTTCCGTAAACATACAGCTAGGGACTCTAGCTGCCTATTCCGGGCGGTCTCTGAGAACATTTATAACACTCAGCGATACTTTCATAAAGTCCGGCTGGATTGCGTTCAGTTCATGGCTTCCAAACGGCATCTCTTCGAAGGGGTAGGGTATGCCATTTCATTATCAGATAATGTTCAGATTCCGGCAGACTCTTAACATAATGTGCTTTTGTTTTGTAGTCATTGACTTGTCCATTTGAAAATTATCTCAAAGAGATGTCAAACCCATCAGAGTGGGGCGGTTTAATTGAAATATCGGCCATGAGCCATCTATATAGGTAAGACATTTTCATATGAAATTTTGTCTACCCACATTTTGATTTATATTTTGTAACAATTAATTGATACTGTGCCTATTACAAGTGTTATAGTAATTTCACTTCCATATGAGAATAATGATCATCATTATCGTGGTGAAACTGCTGTTTACTCCTTGATGATCTTAGCTTTCTAACAACTTTTCAATTGTAACATACTTTCGTTAAACTGTCAAACACCGAGCGGTCACCGGTGACTGCAACCTATTGTTCTATAATTGTGTCTATAATGACAGTACTCAACGAGTTAATTGAGAAGTTGTTAATATGCGCTCGAGATTAACAATGCTCAACTTGGTCACTTCTAAAATAAATACTACAGCTTGTGTTAGGCATAGTTCATATGGATTTAAAAGATGTAACTTTAACAAACATTGCAGACGTGACTTTGTAATATTTGAAGCTAACAAGGGCCCTCAGACAAAGATATGCAATGGTTATGGAGACCCCATATACTTGTTTTACTCACCAGACACTAAACATTTTGATGTGGTTTACACAAAAGATTTCATAAACACTTCATCCTACTGCCAGTGTAAGTTTGTATTTGGTTAAAATTTTATGGAAAATTCTCAGCCAAAGGTTATGTGTTATAGTTGTGTGTAATAGTTATGTGGCTTTTTGTTTATCCCTCATACTGGCTGATCTGATTCATGAATTGTAAGTGGCTTTGCAAAGATGTCCTATTACAAGTTAGATCTCACAACTGCGCTAATTATTGTGATAGTATTAGTCCATACACATTACATTACACACATTACTAGAATAAAATTTCTCTTATCTGCTTTTCCAAACCATAATATGTCTCCGTGTCAAATTACATGTCAATCCACAACCTTTTGCAATACTTAAATAAAATAATTATGTTATAGAAAGGTAGGAAATTGGTGAACTTTATCCCTGCCATTTAATTTCAACTGTCAAACACCAAGCGGTCACCGGTGACCGCAACCTGTTGTTCTATAATTGTGTCTATAATGACGGTACTCAATGAGTTAATTTTACATTGTTAAGGATTTCATTAGATCAACATTGTTAATTTGTAAAATTCTCTATAACTATGTGTGGCATACAACTAGCACCTCTTGATGATTCAGTGCCGAGTTGCTGACTAACCCTTACCTTATCACCCATATTATGTCTGCAACAAAGTAACAAACATAAACAACTAGCTAGCAAGCTGTGGAATAATTAAAGGGAAGCTATTGTAAAATTATTCCATAATGATCTTGATCACAGGATTATATAGACTTATTATAATCGTCATTTTGACTCTTCTATTTTGCTCCATTGATTTGAACATCAATGACATCTCAGAGTATTTTATTTTTTTTCTTGCAAAAATATCGTATAGCACCATTCTGCTTAGCATACCGCAGCCTTCATTGTCTCAGATCAGTCAGAAAAGGTGGAAGTATACTTGTGCTTACTAGTGCTTTTACAATGTTTAATTCAAATTGCTTTACTTTTACTTCATTTCTGAATATTTGAACATAAATTTGACCATTGTGCTTATAGCTCTAGTATACGAAATACTGTACGACGGTGTCTATCAGCTAAAAGACTTATCTTACGCCGTCGACAAAATGCTCCACGACAAAGTACCCTCCAACCACATCGAATACTTTATGTCGGAGAATGTTGAACGTCGCAAAAAGCAGAAAGAAAGAGCTAAAATATTCATAGAAGCTGCTGATGATGACAAGGACAGGAGCAGCAACGCGTTGGCGCTTAAATGTAAGCACCACACTGAAGATCTAGAAAGGGCTAGTCTGTTGAAGGAGTCTCTGAGTATCTTCGTATTCAATCGCAGCCTAATACAGCTTGAGAACGTATGCATGAACTGCTTGAACGTAAACAGCGCGAAAGACTTACTTGATAATGGAATCACTCCGTTTCCTTACAAAGTTGCGAAAGCCTTAGACCCTGATATCTACAGGAACATAGAGTTTGACGTGTGGAGCGAGCTCAGACGAGGTACTGAAGTTTTCCTATAAACTGAATAGGAGCAGAAACTCTAGACAAGCATAAATCTTTAGACTAATTATATTTTACCGACCTCGTTCCGGGCTACATGCAGTTTTCGGTCGATTGGACGCTTGGCTAATTCGTTTTCCTGATTGTTGACTGGTTACAAGTATTCACAACAGCTTTCTCTCGCGAATTTCTTGTGTTTTTGTTAGCAATTTTCGCAAGAACGGAAATGACGCAGTAATTTTGTATGTAACGAGGTCAGTAGACCCGAGGATTTGTTTTGTTTGGACGTTTCAGTTACCTATTCCAGTTCATTTTGAGGGAATTATTTTAACATATAATTTTCCTATTTCGGTACTTATGAAACTATATTACAGAAATGCGTTATGGCGCGAGATATTCTGATGGAACGACCCTCCAAGTGGGCGTGAAATGTTTGTGCAAACTGCAACCTGAACAGACTGTTCCGTATCACTGCCATATCCAAGAAATGCGACCTGACGGCGGACCCTGTCTCGTGTTTATAGAGGAGCTTGGCGAGAAGCGAGTTGTCAATTTTGAACAGCTGGAGCCACTCCCCCTCGAGGAAATAAGACCGTGGGCCCCTCCCTACAGATACTCGCGAGCTCATTCTCAGTTCCTTACTCTGAGCCAAATGTTACAACAAATAGGTTCGATATTGTATTGCAAAATTCTTAATTGTACTGTCTTGTGAATGGATTGCTTCTTATTATTTTTATTACTTGCTTGAACTACTTTTAATAACGCACATATATTTAGTTTTGAGCACAATTTGAAATAGTGTTTCCCTTTTGCAAATTGCCGTACCTACTCAATTAATGTTCCACGAGCAGGCAACATCACTCTGAAACAAGGTCTGAGCAAGGCCCGGAACAAGTCTAAGGTGGCTCCGGACGAGAAGGCTCCCGAGAAAGTGAGCAAGCCGAGCAAAGTGTCGTGGAACGAGGAGACAGGGCTAGCTTTCCAAAACAACGTCGACTTTACATACCAGCACCTGGACTTCCTTAACTTTGAGCCAATGCCTGTTAGTTGTAGCTAGACTATAGAACTAGGTTTTGGGTGACTTGTAAGCATATCACTTGACTGCTATTACTAAACAACTTTACCTTGGCCTATTTTTTCGGGTAATCCCATAAGACGTTCTATAAATACTTTCCTGTAGGTGGTACGTGCAATTGTTTTGTAACTTAAGCCTGCCACTTGATATTTGCTGCCTTTTTATAAGCCAATTATGTATTACATTTTTGTTATTGTTACGCATTTCGTGTTTTTTTTATCCTTAAGCCCCATCAAACATCAAGAGGGCATCTGTTCATCAATTTTAATCCTTTATTAATCGGCCGGTGGAAGGTTCATCCGATTCATCGGAATGTTTCTTAATTTTGTTTTTAAGTGAAACATTAATGATATAATTTCCGCACATTCAATTTCAAGAAATATAACTTGTATGAAATAAAGTGACGTGCTTATAAATCGCACCCAAAGTACCATATCGTAGCTATTCTAGACTAGGGTTGTTTGGGATCATGTGTTGTAGTCTAATCAATAGATTGTGTGTAGACGTTTATTAATTTTAGTTTTGTATTGTTGTACGTTATTTGTTTAGCGAGTAGACACCGATAAGTTGCTGACAGGAAAAACAAGCAATTATTCCTTTTGCCAAAACAAATCTCTTGGGTCGTTTGGCATTTAATATGGAGCGCATCGAAATCAATCATTCATTTGATAACGACGCCTCGATCGTATCTTACGTATTTTGTGCGCTAACGACGAACATTTTTGTGGCAAAATCAAACGTGCCCTGCGCCTGTCAGCAATTTAGTAAAATAGTCAGTACTATTAGATTTTAAAAAAATTATATATTATAATAATTTGTTGGTATATGTCACTAGGTTGAAGTTGAAGCTCTCCCCCTAATGGTGGACTGCAGGACGGGCGCGGGAGCTCCGCCCCTAGAACTCTCACATCCTCAACCAAATGGCGGCGCGCCAAATGAGAATCATCATAACCAGGTCAGCATAATAGGATAATACTAGCAATTTGTGATCCCTGTAGCGTCGCATCAAGCAGCATGCCATTATCACTGCAAGCGACGTGATTCATTTATTGGGACTCAACTACCTACCTACTTTGTTTACTAACAAAGTTTAAATTGTAAATGTTTGACTGAAATTATTTATGCATCTTTACTATGTGTGATGTGTAATCATAATTATTCTATGTAATTTTGTTATGGTTTTATTTATGTTATCAGGCGGGAGGTAGCGGGGACATGGTGGCGCATGGGATCGCTTCCCCGGCGTCAGTGCGGTCTTCCACACCGGCCTCCACAAACACGCTGACCACCTACACCAGTGAGTACTTGTATCCAGAATCCACCTCTTCTTAGTATCTTCTGGTTCAGGAACAGGAACAAATCATCATTGTTTACACATGTTCTTGTGCAATTCCATCGTCGGGATGAAATTAAATCCACAATTAGTTTTTGTAAACACACATTTATGACATATTATCCCTAAGGTAAACTAGGCAAGTGCCTAGGGCGCCAGGGGACAGAGGGGCGCCATTGAGGTGCTTTCCTAAGGTGTCCTCTAGGTTTAATTCCCCTCTATCGTGAGGATAGAGGGGAATCTTTGTAGTTTCTTCATTACCATTTGTAAGTCACTGACGTTATATTGCAATATCTATAAAGACTTATTAATGACAACAATTAAAAACTAGTTACCAATTACCATTAATGATTTATTTGAATATTTGCTTCGTATTCCCATGTCGCACTTTCTATGTTGCAATATAATTATATTAATGAACGACATTTTTTTACAATTCTAGTAACTAATTAGAAGTTACTTTGTGGTAATGAGTTAGCAAATTAGTCGAATATGTATTTAATGGGCGTGTTGTACATTTCGGAAGGAATTAGAGATAGCAAGCAGGAAAGGTATGTTAACAGTGTATTTGTTCCATAATTTACCTATCTTTGTATATGTCAAAGAGCTATGTTTGATCTAGACCCAAGTTTTTTTTATAGATTTTGTGCTCTTATCAATTCAATATTTCTATAATTTTTTTCTCTAATGTTAATCTTCAAATATTCGTGTTCCTTTTGCTTAAGCTAATAATCGGTTTATAAAAGAAAATGTCGCGAATGAAACGACTTTCGTTTTATAGCTAGGTGTACAGATGTACCCAGTGCAATCACTTGACATAATTCCTTTGTCAGTTAGTGTGGAGGGTCACGCCAAGTCACGTGTCACACAAATAGAGCTGGTTTACTGGGGTGCGCTCACAAAGGGTCCTCAATGCATGATGTAATCATGATACTTGTACCACTGGAACAGGAAAAATAAACGAGTTTTAACTAAAGGGCTTTATCCCTGAACTAATTACAATGTAGGTCACGAATTACGCAATCAATGTTGTTGGAACTTGGAACCCTTGTTTAGGAGCCGGGATTGTTTGTAAACATTGGTGTCTGACTCACGGCTTACAATTACATAGTATTTGAAAACATTACTTACCATGTTCTTAGGAACAAGTTTATAGATATTTTGAAAGTCAAACGAAATGTTTTATTTTGATTCAATCGTTACGATATTGTCATGTTTAGAAATAAGTAGTTTTGCAGACTGATTGAAAAAGCTAGTAATATTGAAGTTGTAAAAAGTATACCTACTTATAACAAAATGATTTCTGTAGACGTGATGAATCCTGGAGGTGGAGGAGTCGGAGGTAATGGCTACCCGGTGGCGGGCGTGGGCGCCATGCCGGGCGCGGGCGGGGCGTGCGCGCCGTACGTGTGCGGCGTGAAGAGCGTGGTGTGGTGCGGGGGCGCGGGCGGGGGCGCGGCGCTGGGGGGGCTGGGCGCGCTGCCGCACGCGCCCCCGCACGTGCCGCCGCCGCCGCCGCCCGGCGTCAACGCGCACGTGTTCAAGAGCATGCAGCCCAACGGCTCCGACCTGCCCATGAACGACATCCCCACGCTGCGCTTCTACTTCAACCTGGGCGTGGAGTGCGTGTGGGCCACGTACGGGCCGCCGCGCCACTACAGCCCGCGCGAGCTGGCGCACGACCTGGCGCACGTGTCGCTGGCCGAGCGCGCGCCCCACGCGCCCCACGCGCCCCACGCGCCCCACGCGCCCCACGCGCCCGACCACGCCCACAAGCACAAGCCCGCGCCCGCCGCCGACAAGCCGCCGCTCAACAACCAGCCCAAGGGCAACGGCCAGCGACCTCTGCTCGGGCCCAGGTCGGTGTCTCGGTAAAACAATCATCTTCATCCTTACGTTCCTTATTCTTAACAAGTTGACAGTGAATAATAACTGCCATTTACGTTTTGGAACAGATTCAAGCGCGGAGGCGGTAACCAGGACGGCAATCAAAATTCCAACCACAACCAGAATAAGCACAACAATAATATGGGCAATAAGGGCCCTAACAACCGGTATGTTGAAAATAATTTAACTAACATTTTCACATTGTACACAAAGTGTTTTATAGTTAGAAACAAAAAACTATAATGTATTTGTATTACTTTCCAGTCGTAACTCTCACAGCGAGCAGCGCGGTCCTCACGTCGGCTACAGCGGCGCTGGCGAGGGAGAGTGCGTCATGGAACAGCCCATGATCACACTGCCATACATCCCATACCCCCCACCCATGTACCCCATACAATACTACCCTGTCGAGACTGATCCCGGTAAGCCATGCAACATTTTTACGGAATTCAATATTTCATGTTTAGATTTGAAGTCTTCTGAACATGAAATGGACGAAAATGCCTTATGAGAAAAGTCCTTTCTGTGAACAAATGTCAGCGGTGGTAATTTGTTTATTTTTATGGTATAAACCAGCAATTTTAAAGTGTTGACTTTATTTTCTTATATCTTGACTAGTTATGAATAAAATGGATTATTACTTTGTCCTTATTGATTAGAACTTTCTTGATTGACTCTGTAACATTTCTGATGATGAACTAATCTTCTATTCCAGCTATGATGGGCATGATGGGCGGTATGGGGTACGTGGGCTACGAGGAAGGAGTGTACGAGGGAGGCATGCAGGCGTACTACCCCCCCGCGCCGCACTACCCGCCCCCGCACCCCCACCCCCACCCACACCACGTAGAGCACAAGTAAACCTACTACACGTACCGATCAACACACACACGCATACATTTAAAAGCTTGAGTACATAATTCCCCCAATACAACAGTACATAGATGTTATGACCAATATAATGCTTGCAAAATGTAATACATGAAACTATACAAATGAATATCATATATTCATCATCATCATCATCATCATCATCTGCTGAACAAAGGACTGCCCCTTGCAGTCTTAGTACTGTCCAACTCTCGGAGGTTGGTCACAATTTCCTAATGAACTTGGACTAGCAGCATATTTTATATTAATCTACATAACACATTTTCAACTCTACAAAATGTCCAAATCTACATAACATGTTGTTTGATTTACCACAGGCCGTCCCAGCGTCTACATGCTCCGTAATTCATCATCATTCAACAATCACCACACACATTAGGTAATTGCATCCCCATCGTTTCATCGTTTTTCTAGCGTACTTCTTGGTTCCGAGCACAGCTACCCATCTTGTGTACTCAAGCTCTAATAAATGAATAATTTGGACAATCAAAAGTAACACTTTGACCAGAGTTCTTTTATTTCCTTGTCATTTTGCACAAACTAAAATTATCAAAAGAAAAGTACAGTTACACTTTTAGTAACAATAAAATAATCTATCAGAATTTCATTCATATACTCGAATAATCAACAAGTATCATATAAATGGTTTACCGAATTGTGTGTCTTCTTGCTAAAATTATTATGTCGGAACTCATAGTCGATTAAACGACTAATTTGAGTTGAATCGGTACATACGTCAACATAAACAAACTAACAAGGCTATTAATAACAAAACAATGGATGTGGTTGAGATGTGTTGTCTGTCAACGCCGGCGTTCAGGAAGTAATTCAGTCTACCACATTCCAAGTGTAGTTGGAAGACATAATCAAGAACTAAGTAATTAATTAACCTATCATTCACGTAACAAGATCATTAGATATCTCCATCGCACTAGATTGTGGCAAAACTAATTACATAATTTAAATACTACTCAAGTTGTATTCTAAAATAGGATTCAATTCCATTTTAGTTTAAAATTTGAGTATCTATTTATAATAACCGATATTATCACTGAGTATATGTTAACATACACATATTACATTTGTGAAACTAATTTTTTATGTGTAATTGTAATATACACAATACTAAACTGGATATGCACTGAATTGATCATTAACTTGACTTATGAAACAATTTTGAAGTGATCATAATCTTTTGAACAAATAAGTAGTTCCTAGTACCCATGTATTTACTGTTGATTTATCAGTGTGTGTTCAGATTAACATGTAAACTATCGGCTGACGTGAATAAATGATGTAATACAAAGTTGCCAAATGTTTACCATCGATTTATTATAAGTTCATTACACTCGGCCGATTACAACTTGTTCACTAGTGGCTTGATAGCAACATGAGCTACTAATTAGTGCCTGAATTCAGTATACAACGACAATTGTCATCATAAGGTCGGTATACGAATTTTGAACGTGAAAAATATTGGATAAAACGTATCAATGTTGCATTATTACATAGTGCCACGCTGTGTGTGGGATACATTTGCAACTCGCGTCAATTATATAGACAAATATTTGGAAAAAGTCAATTAAACATTTCATTCGAAGTAACAGCCTAACATTATGTTTCATACTACTAACATTAGTTGCAGATACCTGGCACAGAATGGCACGATCATTTGTTATTTATTAAGATGTGGGAATAAACAATCGATAACTGTTTTTGAAAAATAGTAAAATTGTATTATATGTACTTAACATAAGGAGGGAAGGTCGCACAACCTTTGTTTCTGTACCGTTTCAAATTTCCGATTGTGAACTTCCATAACTGTGATCTATTTGACTGAAACCTTCTCCATTTGTATATGGCAATTAAATTAGTTTACTATATAATTACTATATAGGAACCGTTTTTGAAATTGTTAATCCACAAGTGTTCATTGGTGCTGCAAAATTGATTAGAACAGGGTAAGCGTGATATTTTTGTATGTTACAGCATTATACATACATACAAATGTTACGTAGTTGTTAGGCGCTGTATATCATTCCTTGTAATGTAAGGTGAAACTGTAAATTTTAAGACAATTTATTGTAGTTTTTATGTCGCAAATTTAAGTTTCCTGTTTCTTAAGTATTTTTTTATCACTTATCACGACACGTGTACTCTCAAGTTACACCTTAGCCGCAGGTACGACTATACAGCCCGGGCTAGTTTCTATGGGCCCTGTACCCAAGACGCAATATTAGTCGAGTCTTGTGTAGTGATAAGTTTATTTTTGGCTTAACTTTAGTTTAGTTAGAATAAGTCAAGACGGTTTCACACGCCTCTGTTTAGGTTCGCACTAAGATGAATGTAGATTTACTTTTAAATATTCTCAGATCTCAAGCTCAATATAAACGCAGACCTTTTGAATCTCCAATTAAACATTCAGCACTTTAAAATAAAATGTGAATCCAATAACGTGAACACATCAAGTATCCTACTTTGATCTCATTTAAAAATAACATTCGTAAGAAAACTGGTGCTTGGGTTTGTTAGTTGTTTACTTGTATTTAAGTAACTTGTTCAAATTTATTAACATTTAATGTAAGCGGGACCATTAGTAACCTTGTGAACAAGAAAAGTATATTAGTATTATTATAGATATTTTCGCTACATCGCCTAGTCTCTGCATTTACTACGTTAGTCGGTGCACGCTGCATCTATGTCCAGAGGCTGGAGAGATAGAGCCGAGGGAAATTGTGATCTCCTTTTTGGGAGATCAACGTTCAGTAACATACATGCGCGCCATATTTAATTTAACAGTTCCTTTTATTGCTATTATCTTGTTTACGCGTGGCGGTTTGAGACCGCTTGTTACGTCTGCAGACAATGACAAAATTGACTCGTGTTTTGGATTGTTTATATAAGTATTTGGCTGTGATTCTCAAGTAATCTCAGTAACGATTGGTATTATGTTGTTGGCTGACATTTGTTATACGAAAAACAGATCGCTTTATATCTATTACTAATTACATACCAGACAGTCGAGTTTGTCTGTATGTACAAATATTATTCCTTATAATATTTGATTGTTTATTTATTGATCACTAAGGTTGTACCTTAATTCCGCCCATGATTATTATACTTCACATTTACACTCCAAACATAATTATATATTAATATTTACTATATATTACGCATAGATTTATATATTTGCGTATGGTAGCGAAATCTTGAATGTTTTACAGAGTTGTTAAAGAAAATATTAAAAACAAAAAACAAGTGTTCTTACGACAGGTTACGTGTCATGTTCATGTTAATTATAATTTTCGGTTTTCAGTATTAGTTTAAATCACTAGGGGTTAGAGTTTTATGTTAGTCGTTAATTAATGTTTACGTAACTATAGTCTAGTGTTACTTTATTTAAGTATACCGTCAGTTACTTTGTAATCTCGTCAGTTAGGGCGTAAAATATATATTTTTTGTTCTCAATGTAGTTGTATAAGTTTGTGTGCCAAGTTTAAACTTTGATGTATGATATAAACGAGCAGTGTCACCCATGAGTAGCATCTTGACGACCAACATCACTGCCGTAGAACAAAATTCTCGTTGTCATATCAGTGTTAAAGATACATTAGTAAATACAATAATTGTGTTGTGAATAATACTATTATAGGTACATGTATGTCTTACTATATGGTTGTACAGTGCTCAAAGTTAGGGTAATGTCCGCCTTTGAGATGTTATTTGTAATTCTTTTTCAAAATTCCATCAATAAATGTAAACTGATTTTTCATATGTGTTTTTATTTCTTAACTTGATACCTTACTTAGGTGAATGATTATTAAAGCCCTACTGAAAAAAATGTAAACTAAATTAACATTTTTATTTGTACTCTTGGTTAAAAATTTCATAGTGAATAACCTTCTCATTTTGATAGAAAAGTGTAGGATGACCTGCTGCCCACTGTACCACATGTTACTTGAGATAATAGGCGAGTTTCTGGGATAGCAATCGACTAGCTTAAAATTAGTTATTATCTCCTCTCTATCAGTTAAGAAATAACTTTTTGTGAATGCCGGTGGCTGTACAACTTAGTTTGACAGGTGAGTAACCTAAAACTTTTAAAGTAACGTAAAACTTTAATATATGTATAAGAAAGAATCATTAAATAAGTACTAAATATTGCTTATCTGAATATAATCTTGTTTGTAATTTCATTCATAGATTTCTTAATCTATCTACTTAATTTACCAACTTATACTTATTGCAAATTTAAATGAGTTGTTTTCGAGGACACAAAAACAAATGCATAATATAGTCTCATAGTTCAAAATTCTTATCGTGACACGAGGAAAACAGCATAGATGTTTTATTGTGACCTAGTACGCAGTCTATGACGGATAGAAGAGTTCTTTCATAGAGGGCAGACCTCTAAATGAGTGCATCTTAACAGACGTTGTACCTAAGGGGGACAATCGGTTGACCTTGTAGTAACAAGTGCTTGTTATCGTGTGTAGTATCAATAAGCCAGTTGTTTGAGTTGGTAGCGAGCCTACTGCGACGGAAACGCACAGTTAGTAATCATAACGTTCACGTTTGTGAAGATTTAGATATAATTGTTTGTCAATTGCAACCGGCGTTATTTGCCGAGAGACTCCCGCGGTGCAAGGTACGTAGATATTGCTAGTTGTGTAATTAATTATTCTAAATATTGTGCAAATGTGCATGGTTCGTTGATAGTACTGTATTTAGATATCAAATGAAATAGAGGACGTGACTTGTGGTTTGAAAGAATTTTTAGTTTTTGTTTGTAAATAAATGTTTGCTACTAAGTTACGTATTATTTAAGCGCGATAAATTATTTTCAAAGCTAATTAATGGTGTATCTTAAGTACCTTAACTATTTTCTCACTAAAAATTGTATTTTTATGAAATCCAATATCTATGTACTTAAGAAAAACTTTCCGAGTGTCAATAAGTAGGTAATCTAATGTTTGAATAATCGGAGTCGCGAAAAACCTAACGGGTAACTGGGGCACCGGGTCGAAACGCAGGAGAAGGAACGGGGTGGTTTTTAGTCAGTAAGAGTCTGACACTCTCTTCCGCGTCATCCAGGCGGGAGCAGGGAGTTGATGAATTTCTACCCTTAAAAAATGTTAATATTAGTAGGTAAATAAGTAGATAGGTAGACTACTTAGACATGTAGATATTAATTAATTAAAAGTACTTTCCTTTCCTAACAAGTTTTATAAGATAATTTAAGTAGCTCTTTACATGAACATAATAGACACTTAACTATTGATAAATGAAAGCTTAATAGGTACCTACCTAAATAGGTATTACTTTATCTCCTCTTTAAAATTAATGTTATTCAAGTGTGTTATCAGTGCTTTAACTATTTTGTTATGTAATAACAAAAATATTTTGATTACAGATAAGTTATACCTACCTATAACTCGAAACAAAATTAATTCAGAAATATTTTAATAATATTGACTTTTTTGAAGCCCTCCCCTCACTAGTCAGTCACATATGAGTTTTAACTCGTCGAGTACAGTTTAAGCAATATGTAGATACCGGTGCACATCACACCCAAATCGGAACACCATTTAGCAGCGAAAAAAAAACTATCGTGACACACTAAATTAACTAAAAAACTAAGTGTGGGAGAGCTATGCTTCGGCACGAATGGGCCAGCTCGACCGGAGTGATACCACGGCCGAGCATAAAACCGACCGTGAAGCAACGCTTGCGTTGTCTTTCGTCGTGTGAGTGAGGTTACCGGAGGCCCAATTACCTTCCCTTTCCCCAATCTCCCCAATCCCTGAATCCCCAACGATCCTCAAACTCCTAATCTCCAAAAAGCCGGTGACGCACTTGTAACGCCTCTGGTGTTCCAGGTGTCCATGGGCGACGTCGATTGCTTACCATCAGGTGATCCGTCAGCTCGGTTACCGGCTTATGCAATAAAAAACAATCGGGTTTACTCACGTGGAATATACTGAGAAAAGCTCTACTACATAGTTTCGAACCATAGAAGGGTTCTTCCTCATGAGCAGCGTGCGCATTCGCGGGGACGTCGCACAGCCTACTGCTTTTCTCAATATATTTACGTAAGTAGGTAACCCCCGATTTTTAGTTAATTTAGGTATAGGTGGTGTTTTACAAACAACTGGAAAATCCGATCTCATCTAGGTACTTTAGATTTAAATGACGAATCTCTAATCATAATCTGAAAATGACTTTTTACTTTTGTAAGTGTGAAATGAAATATCGTTTGTCATGCAATTCATTATTTACGTATATTTATCTCATTCCAATGAAGTAGGTAATTACTCTTGTTTTAATAATATTAGTGTTTATCAAAATAAATGCAGTGTAACAGAGATATCGTATCTAAGGGAACAATCTTGATTGAGTAGGTAATGTGTGTTTTTCTCATACGTTAGGTACATTAAACTGTCAAACACCAAGCGGTCACCGGTGACCGCAACCTATTGTTCTATAATTGTGTCTACAAAACCGGTACTCGACGAGTTAAGGCTATAATCTTAAGAGAGTTAATAAACTTAATCGTCCTTGAGCACTTGAAGCCAGCTGAAGCCAGAACCTTGTATCTGTGGATACACATGCGACTTACGATGGTCTAGCGACGTCACCATTAATACAATAGGGAATGCTTAGGTATATAAAATTATAAATACATAAGTACTGGATAATGGTGTTTGGACAAACATTTTCTACGAGATTTATATCGTTTTAATCTCAACAATCTTCCGTGATTACGTGATACACAGCTAGCGAATACCTACCTACCTCAGCAGAATTAATTTCACACTTAATGAAATCCTAATTGAAAGGTTCTGTAAACTAATATTTTACCAAAAACGAATTAACCAAATGTTTAAATTAAACACAGCGCTAAATATTTCGCTGTGAATGTGTGTTGTGACGTCTTTAACGGTTCTATTCAAACTAGCGATATATTTTTACAATGCAAAGAAAAATAAGGTCTGTAAGTACCTCGATAACAAAAATTAAATACCAGCTGAACCTACCGCATGACTGTCTATAAAGGGGTCTCGAGTTCCATCCACAGACGTAGGTATTACTTACCTATTGAAATTTGTTTTTCTACAACGCGCAAAAATCAGCTTATGTAAGTAGTTACCTAGGTAGGTATGTTCCTACACGGTGGAGCAAAATCAGTTAGTTCAGTAAATATGATGTTAAGATAATGAAAGAGGAGTTAAATAAATTCCTTCGCCTACAACTCCCAGATGTCGGTAAAAGTGCAGAAGATCACGGAGCCCCTGCTGCTGGGCGAGGGTCCGCACTGGGACGAGCAGCAGCAGGCGCTGTTCTTCGTCAGTATACAGGAGCACACCATACACAAGTACGTACCCGCCACTGGAGTGCACACCAAGACCAAACTTGGTAAGTTGGTATTATGTTTTGGTTTGTTTACAATACTTACTAAGTGTAGTAGAGCCATGTTTCTGCACGAATATGTCGCTCGACTAGAATGATACCACGACCGAGCAGAAAACCGACGTGAAACAACATTTAGGTACGATGAGTTTCGCCGTAAGAGTGACGTTACTTGAGGCTCAAGTCGTCCCCTCCCCAATCACCTATCCTCAAACGCCTAACACCCAAAACTCCGGCAACGCACCTCTGGTGTTCCGGGTGTCCATGGGCCGCGCCGATTGCTCACCATCAGGGGGCCAGTCTGCTAGTTTGCCGTTATAACCATAAAAATGCGCATAATATTCTTTCGGTATAAGGCTCATCGCGCATCGATTCTTCTGAACTGTTGCAGGCGGTCGTGTCGGCTTCATAGTGCCGGTAGAAGGCACCAGTGACCAGTTCCTAGTGGGTGTGGAGCGCAAGTTCCAGGTGATCAGTTGGGATGGAGCTGATGGAAGCCCAGCCACCGTGGTCAAGGAGCTCGAAGAGGTGGACCGTGATATACCTACCAATAGGATCAACGATGGCAAGGCTGATCCCAGGGGCCGAGTGTTTGCAGGTCAGATATTGAAAACTTTCAAGTAAAATGTTCTTCTTCTTAAAAAAATGATGAGTGTCTCCTTATATTTAGTATTTTCATTTCAATAAGATTACGCTGTAAACGTAGATCTCCCTACACATTCTTGGCCAAGCGTGGCTAGCAATAAGGACACGAGATTACATAAGTGCCTGTTAAATAATTTTACGGTTCAAGGATGGTCAAACAGTTTACGTGATTAAACCATCAATATTATGGAAGATTAGTTTGTCACGTGAAAGTTATTACATATAATGTGATAAATTGGTGGAAGGCTATTAATTATTAGGTCAAAATAAATATTCGTCTATTTCTGTCCACAGGAACAATGGGCCATGAAAGTCCTCTAGGCAACGTCGCTCTGAACAAAGGCAACCTGTTCCGGCTGGATGGAGGGAAGGTGACGAAGGTGGTCAACCAGGTCAGCATCTCCAACGGCCTGGCCTGGGACGTCCGGGAGAAGGCCATGTACTACACGGACTCACTCGAGAAGAATATCAGGAGATACGATTATAATGTGGACACTGGAGAAATTTGTAAGTTGATATGTGATTGAGACTTTATGGTGACTTCCAAGAGTTCCAAGTCATGTACAGGTTTTAATTTAGAACACATCGTTTCAGCCAACGTCAAGTACATCTTCGACTTCGAAAAGAACAAGATAGAAGGGGTTCCAGATGGCACCACTATCGACACTGACGGTAACCTCTGGGTTGCTGTGTTCGAAGGCTCCTGCATCCTCAAAATTAATCCCAAAACTGGAGAACTGCTGCAGAAGGTCCCCATACCAGCGTCACAAGTGACCTCGGCCACATTTGGAGGTCCGAACTACGACATTATGTTTGTAACGACCGCAAGCCTGAACATTCGTGAAGCCCAGGATCCGCCTTGTGGATCCACGTTCATGGTCACCGGACTGGGGGTCAAGGGATACCCCAATGTTAATTTTAAGCTTTAATTATTCATATAATCATTGATAATTTAGTTAAATATTTAATTATATAAACCTATTTACAATTTTACAAGCTTATCTAAATGTTAATAACGTATTGTTTAAATTGAATTAAAAAAATTATGATAAAACAAAATGACAAGGAGACCACTATTAGACTGATATGTTTATTATTATAATACGTAATCTAAAGATATTATAAATGTTTTAATCAATTTATTGTTTATATGCCGTGTTACTATGAATATTAAATAAATATATTATTATTCTGATCAAATTGTTTCTCTTATAATGAACCTCAATTTAATAAATTTCTAGTCTACTGATAAGGCCATAAGGGACGAAAAATCGGACGTAAGTTTGTAAAAGATTAATTGGTTAAGAAGTTGATCAAGGAATATGGTTCCTTGATACAATCAAGCTACTATAAAGATAAACAATCTTTGACATCGTACATAACATCACGCCTTTTATCCCCGAAGGGATAGGCAGAGGTGCACACAGAAGTAACACCCACTTTTCACTATTTATGTTATGAGTCCCATGTACAACAATCTTTGAATCAATCAATTTTAAGCAATCTTTTAATGAAGAAATAAACGGCAAGACATAATATAAATGTTTTGTTTTATGGCACATAAATACTACGAAGTACTAGGACCTCATTATATAACGTATTTTATAACTGAACTGGGGTGGTTGTAGATCCTGTCAGATTTAAATGAGTGACTGAAATGAGCTAGAGACAAGATAAGAAATGGGTGTACCCACCCCACTTCTATCTACAGACGTTATTAACATTTTTATTTTGAAATGAATGAATGAAAATGTGAATGCAATTTTGGATTTGCATACTACGTGTAGTTACTATACGGACAAAACAATATCTGCTGGCCCATTATCTACCACGGATACGCCGATACGGAGTCGCGGAGAACCTAACGGGTTACCGAGGCTCCGGCTCGAAGTGCAGGGTTTTTTTTTTTTTTTTTTTTTTCTTCCTTTGGCAACTGAGTCTCCAACACGGTGTTGTCGACTATACTGCCAGTGTCGAGTGGTGACGGCAGATTAATGCACCGTCGACTTTTAACTTTGCGGTAGTTTTTAGTTGTTAGTAGCTGAAAAGGACAAAAACAATTGGGTTAGTAAACATATACCGTCAATAGACCTAAAATTATAATATTATTACCTAACACCAGATAAATAATTAAATAGAAACAATCATAACACACAATATTTACATGATTACACACCATTATATTTTAATACTATTTTCTTTTATAAATTTGGACAAGCACTTAATTAATTTGGGAGAAAAATTTGTTAGGAGGGAGTGGAAGTTGATTGGAAGAGGGATTTGGATTTTGGGAAGGTTTCCATATAGATCGAAGGATTGGGAATTTAGAGGGCAAGAGAAAAATATGTGGTCTAGGGTTCCCTCATCAAGACCACATTCGCACAGCGAGCTGTCACGTACGCGGATCTTGGCGAGGAATACCGGGCTAGAACAGTGACCGAGCCTGAGTCTGCACAAAGACGAAACAGCATCTCTGGGGAGCTTCTTATGCTTGAAAAACCAAGGTTTCCGCTGTATGTCGGACTGGATGCTTGCGTAATAAGCTCCTTTTCGTTTAGAGGAGTCCACCCACACTGCAGCCCACGAGTCGAAGAGCTTAAGTTTGGTATCCGCGCGTATGTCATACCCATACACAATGTAGTGGTGACGTTCAACGTTATTCACGGCCGCAAACTTTGCCAATCTGTCAGCACACTCGTTACCACATATACCAGAGTGGCCAGGAATCCATGCAATCTCAATATTTAATCCGTCTTTTTGACAGGAGAAAAGCAGACTTTTTATTTGCATTATTATACTACTATGCGTTCGGGAGTAAAGCTGGTCTTGACCGAGCGCTTGTAGGCTACTTCGAGAATCTGAGAAGATAACTGAGTTACTGAGGTTGTGCGATTTGATAAATTTGATGGACTCCAGAATGCCAATACATTCCCCAGTGAAAACAGAGGCTTCAGGAGGACATTTAGAGAGGAGAGCAATTCTTGAATTCTGGTAATATGCTGCCACTCCTGTGCATCCGTTTCGGGACAATTTGGATGCATCCGTGTAAAACATATTCCAGCCGTTCCAGTAATTGCTCAACGCGCGTCCAAAATCACGCCTGGCGTCCACCGATGATTTTGAGATGCCCAACCTCAGAACTAGCTTTGGCTTAAAGTGGATAACCTCATATGCGGAAGAAAAAACCGGGAGAATAGGGTGTTGACTGATAGGTGCAGAGAGGTTTTTAAGCTCCCTATACCTAACAATCACGGGTGGGACAGGTTTATTGTTCCAATATGGAGAGGAACCATAGGAACAGTGTATTTGTTCAAGGATAGGGAGGAGGGGATGAGAAGAGCGGGTCAGGACTTTAGATACGAAACGGTCTGCCAGGTATTGTCTTCGAAGGTCGAGGGGGGGCTCTGCACATTCAACCTGAAGAGCATTTATGGGGGACGACTTCATAGCTCCAATAATTATTCTTAGGCATTTGGCCTGGATGGAATCTAATTTTTTAAATGCTTCCTTATTGCATGGTGCTATAAGGAAACAGCAATAGTCCATCACACTCCTGACCAATGCATTGTAGATGAGTTTCAGTGTGTAGGGGTGAGCACCCCACCATACCCCAGCTAGTGCTCTGAGTACACATACTGACCGCTCGCACCTTTTAACCACAGCGTCCACATGATCTACCCCCGACATCCTAGAATCGAGGATGACGCCTAGGAACCTAGCCTTCCTCATAACTGGAATAGGCTGACCGTCTATCTCTATACGAATATCTGGAAGGCGACGTCTGCGTGAGAAGATGACAGCTGAGCTTTTTGGGGCGCTTAAAGACAACCCATGACTAAGAAGCCATTGGTGTAATGAGGCCAAAGAGACATTCATGGAGGTGGTAGCATCTGTTATAGAGCTGCTAGTGACCATTAATGCGATATCGTCAGCATACTGGAGGATTCTACAATCATAATTTAGACAGGAAGGGAGGTCATGAGTATAAATATTATACAGGATGGGACTAAGGACAGACCCCTGAGGTAAACCTCTCCAGGCCGTTCTCTGTGTTGGGTCATCCTCAGGAGTCCTTAGTTGGAGGGTACGGTTGGAAAGGATGCAGCCTATAATTTGGCAAATCCTACTCGGGATTCTCAGCTCTTGCAGTTTCTGCCTGAGAAGGGGTAGGAGAACCGAGTCATAAGCCGATGAAACGTCCAGAAAGACTGCCACCAACGACTCATCCCTGCTAAGGGCCAGTCGGATAGCTGACGTGAGGGTACCCACACTATCAGCCGTACCCAGACCTTTCCTGAAGCCGAACTGAGCCGCCGGAAACAGGCCCCGGCCTTCCATCGACCATTCCAACCGGGTCTTTAAAAGGTGCTCTAAAATTTTTATAAGTATGGACGATAGGGCAATAGGTCTGTAAGACGAATGGTCACCAGGATCCTTGCCAGCTTTTAACAGCGGCATAATAACCTGAACCTTCCAGGGAGGAGGAATATAGCCGAAAGCAAGACAGAAATTGACCAAGTCAAGGTAGTACTGTTTGGTTTTGGCTCCTGCCTTAACCAAGAAGGAGTAGGGGAACCCATCAATCCCTGGTGCGGAGTCTTTTACGTGGTTTAGAACCATTTGAAGCTCGTCCATGGAGAAATTCCTATCGAGTGGGTCAAGCGATTCCTCATGATGACCCAAGCAAAATTCATCCTCACCGGGAACATACAGTGGAGCAATACTGGAGAAGAAATTGTGGCTCAGACCTTCAGGCATGATAGAAATTGAAGGAGGCTTCATGGAGTTTCTGAAGCTCTTCACCCTCTGCCAAACTGCTGCTACCGGTGTGGACGGGCTCAGGGACGTACAGAATCTCTGCCACCCCTGCTTCTTCTTTTTTTTAAAAAGTTTCCTTGACCTAGCCAACATCCGCTTGAAATTAAAGAGGTTTTCCAGGTTCATGTCTCGGTTATATGCCTTTTCGGCCTCATTCCTGGCTCTTATCATGGCAGTGCATTCACTATCCCACCAAGGAGGGGACGGGATTTTGCCTTTTGGTGTGTTTTTCAATGGAAAGCAATCTTCAGCTGTAGAAGATATCAACTCCGAAAACTTTGAAAAACACTCCAAAGCATTCTCAGTATTAATAAGTGGGAGAGAAGAAATGCGAAGGTCTAACAATTTTGAATACAGGTCCCAATCTGCTTTTTCTAAACGATATTTTAATAGGGGGGGGAGGGATTTATCGGGAGTGGATTTAGAAGGGTTTTTAATTATTATGGGATAGTGATCACTACCATAGGTCATATTCAAACAGCTCCAATTCAGCATGCTTGCCATATTAGCTGAGCAGAAGGTTAAATCCACACAACTGCTTCTTTGCCCAAATGCAGATCTACGGGTTGGGCTGCCGTCATTAATGGCACATAGGTTAAGCTCATCCAACATTTCTACTAACTCGGTACCTATGTTGTCGCAGGTATCTGAACCCCATCTAAAGTGATGGCAGTTAAAGTCGCCCATTACAAGTAATGGGCCACTTACTGACATTAATAAGTTTTTAATTATAGCCAAATGGTTAATATGAGGGTGTGCAATATAAAACATAAAAATATTTATATCCTCAGCCTTAACAGCGACAACATTTATGTCATCGCCAACGAAGGGTAGAGGGATCTGAGAGAAGGGTACTTTGTTACTTACTAACAAAGCACAACCTCCATAACCATCAGATCTGTCATGTCTGACAACACTGAAACACGGGACTCTGAAATTAATATTCGGTCGGAGCCATGTCTCAGCAATGCCACAAATAGTTGGTTTAAATTTGTTGATTAGGTGTAGTAAGTCACTCTTCCTGGGAAGAGTACTCCTCACGTTCCACTGGAGAATTGTTAGTGGGTGGAATGTTATAGATATAATCTAAGATGGTAGCTAATCTATGGGCGACGTGGTCAGGTACGGTTTGAGAAGGGTTGGATAACACTGCCATAAGCATGCTCGAAATTATGTCTAATATGTTCTTGGAGCTTTGAGTATTGGTTCCGGATTCCACAGGGAAAGCGCAACCGTTTTGTGAGGGAGAAAATGAGTAGTCATGGATAAGGGCCTGGTGGGCCTTCTTATCGTAGCTGGGAGAAAGAGGGGCATGGGATTTAGGTTTGACAAAGACAGTTTTTTTATAAGATAGTCTCTGTGGGGATGATTTTTTTATTGGTGTTGTTTGTATATAATTGGTGGATTTGGATTTAGATACCTCGGCATATGACTTTTTAACTGCAGGGAATACTTGGCTTGCTTCCGCATATGAAATTGCCTTTTCTGCCATCAGAGCCTTAATGCTCTTCTGGCGGCCTAACTCCGGGCAAGCACTGTTATTAGCAAAGTGGTTGCCATTGCAATTAATGCAATGTGCAACTTCCTCTGATACTAAGCATCCATCGCCAGGATGATCCTGACCACATCTAAAGCAACGCGGCTTGGAGCGGCACAGAGTGCGAGTGTGACCAAAACGACAACAGTTGAAACACTGTATTGTGGGGTATGTGTACAATTCTACGGGGAGAGCAGAGTAAAAACAAAAAACTTTCTTTGGAAGAATTTGCCCATCGAAAGTCAGCACCACAGTTTGGGTAGGCTTCCATTCCGTACCATTTTCTGATGACACCCTACGGTTCATCCGTCTTGCTTTGATAGCAATTCCACATCCAGCAGGAACCTTGATGTTCCTGATAATTTCTTCCTCTGTCCACTCAATGGGAACATCTCTTACAATACCCATTCTTGTTATATTGTATTGAGGGATTGAGGTGGTATAATTCTGAGCTACAACACAGTTAACCAAGAAACTGTTTGCGTCTTGGTGGGAGACAAATTCAACGGACACTCTATTTCTACCTAGTCGTTTCACTCCTCCAATTTTTATATTGCTTATATTATTTTTCGTCAAGAACATCCCGAATTTGATTGGGTGAAGCGTAGTACCAATTGTCTGGGAGTCCTTGAGCGAAACATGGATAATATAAGGGGGGTTGTCTCTAGCCGTGTAACACTGCCTACCATTTATGCTTTTAGCTAGTTTTGGAGGGTTGTTGCGGGAGATAATAGGAGAGCCTGCAGGTCGCTTTCTATTATGATTAGGTTCAGAATCCATTAGGTCTATATCTTGGTTGTCGTGGGGAAGTGTGACACATAACACGGGACTGTATTCCGATTTGTCGGGAGGATCAGGGGGCTTCTCCTCGTCCATCGTTAAAGAGTATGGAAAAGGTGGGAAGGAAAAAGAAGTATTAAAACTTAAAACTACAATACCTTAATAAAACTTACACACACAATTACACAGCACAAAATAAAAAAAAAAATCAATTTAGTTCACTATAAAAAAGATCACTAAAATTGACAACAATCGTAGTACCAATAAAAGCACGTGCGTAACCTTCACCACTACCCCAAAAAGTGCAGGGTTTTTAGTCCGTTAGAGTCTGACACTCCGTCACCCAGGCGGGAAAAGTCATTCGATGGTTTTCCCCCCTTAAATAAAAGGCCCGTTATCTATCTATATCTATAAATAAAAATGAATTTCCGTTCGATAGTCTCGCTAAAACTCGAGAACGGCTGAACCGATTTGGCTGATTTTAGTCTTGAAATGTTAATGGAAGTCCAGGGAAGGTTTAAGAGGGAGAAAAAGATTTTTAGGCGAAACGAAGTTGGTCAGCTAGTCGTTTGATACTTTTGTAGTTATTGGTAAAAAAAAAACAAAAAATATAAAATATAATAATTTATTCGAATCTGACGTAGTTATTGGGGAGTCCTTTAGCGTTGAGTCCGGTGAGTTTGAAGGTAGACCCTGCAGGTGGCAGCTGTTCCTGTCCTCGGTTCATGCAGGCGGAAGTGACGTACAGGACATCTAGCGCTGGTCCTCCAAACGTTGCTGATGTTACCTGCAGCGCTGGGATCGGGATCTTCTCAAGTAGTTCGCCCTTTTTGGGGTCAATTTTCAGCACCTGAAATGAAAACACATGATTATATTGGGAAAACGATCAGATAGGTCAACGTAGCTAATAGGCAGCTACAGCGAGCGTAAGAGTAGTCACCATACAAGTGTGTTGACCCTTTGAAACAAGTAAAATCTTGGAAAGTAATTGCCGCAGCTTAAGGACATCTGATATACCAGCAGCGGTGTAGCTTGCATTGTCTACCGCACTTGCATAATCAATTATTTACGTAAAGACAAAATTCTACCCTATAGATGTATTATATGAAAATATGTTAAATAAAACTGCCTCGCTGGCCGAGTGGTCGCAAGTGAGGCAATAGGCTCACCCCCTATTCATAACATAAATAGTGAAAAGTGGGTGTTAAATTGTACAGTGACATTAAGAGCCGTAATGTGCACCTCTGCATACCCCTTCGGGGATAAAAGGCGTGATTTATGTTATGTAAAAATATTCTGTACTATTTATTTTACAAACAAAAGAGAAAAGTTTTTAAACTGTGAAACACCAAGCGGTCACCGGCGACCGCAACCTATTGTTCTATAATTGTGTCTTCTACAAAACCGGTACTCGACGAGTTAATACACATTACGGTTTAACAAAATAATTGTGAAAATACGTAAAAATAAGTCAGTAAGTATAGATATTTACCCGATTGCCATCAAAGTTGGCGACCCAGAGGTTGCCGTCAGTATCGATGGTCATGCCGTCGACGATGCCTTCCAGCTGGTGGTCCTTGTACGCAAACACGTTCCGAGGGTTCGCTGGAAATATTAACACAATACACTTTACTATAATTATCTATTAATTACAATATAATGCTATAAGAATTCTCCGTTATATTAATTGTATCCACATACTAATCTGATTATAAGCAACCGGCGCCACTAATGGACACCCAACCCACGACACTAGAAGTTACAAGTACGTTGCCGGTCTGTTGAGATTTAGGGAGCTCATTCAAATGGTGAAACACTACGCAAACGTCGTTTCACGTGGGTCTACTGTGTGGCCGTGGTATCAAAAAGCGTGGCGTTCAAAAGTGCCTTCCTGGTGCAATTGAAACAAATGACTTTGACTTTGATCATTCATCACTCCGGTCAAGCCCGCTCATTGGCCGTACCGAAGCATGGGTCTCCTATATAAATCTTGTTCTTCTATATAAATAAAATACTCACAAATATTGCCAGTGTTCACATCATAATCGTATCTTCTGATGGTGTATTCAAACGAGTCAGCGAAGTAGAACGCCTTCTCTTCCAGGTCCCAGCACAAACCGTTGGAGATGTCGATGTTAGAGGCCAGCTTGTGGGTGCTACCATCAGGGTCGATGCGGTAGAGGGAACCCTTCTTCAGGTCGAACTTGCCTGGCGCGTATTCATGGCCCATTGTACCTGGGGGATTCATTTGAAATAGTTGTTGTGAAAGTGCAGTGGTTGTTATGGAAATATGATATACAATAAAACTTTCCGCAATAATTACTACTTTTTCAATTGGTTAAAATTGCATAAAAAATCGTTCAGTAATTATTGTTTATCGAGAACAACCACAAACAGTTAAACAGACAAATTGTAATAAGGTATTTTTCGTAAAGTCTGTCGTTTTTAGACAGTGAAAAATTAAGGATCCCAGTGATATAAAAACAGATGAATAAAGAACGCCGACAACCAAGAATTAAAGCAAAAACGGGGGCAGACCTACGACCCGAGCAATGGGTTGCCCTGGGGTTTTATCAAAATATTAAATGTTGAATGATGATGGTCATAAACTCACCAGCAAAGAGTCTCCCCTTAGGATCAGCCTTGGCATCATTGAACCTGTTCTTCGGTACGTCCTGGTCTACTTCAGCAATGGTCCTGATGACCTTGGCATTGTTCTCCTGACCGTCCCACTCGATCTCCACCACCTTGCGGTTGAGGCTGATGGCGAAGTGGTGCTTCTTGCCTTCTATTGGGATTATGAAGGTTGGCTGGCCCTCTGGAATGATAGGTTCAGTTACAGTATTAATTTATTAATCTAAGAAATAGATGTGCATAATAAATGTAGGTATGTTTACGCTTTTCGTCAATAATTTGAAATACAATAGGCTATAGGCTATTCCTGCGCAACTGCCCAGATGTTGCATTGAAAACAGAAAGTTTAACAGTTTAAAGATTTTTTAAAGTTCAAAGTTTAAATTCCTTGTCCAACACGCGTCATGTTGCACAGGAATTAGATGCTCAGTCATTACTAGAATTAGGTATGTAGTATGCACATGACGCTGTGCTCTAAAAGCGCAGTACAAACGATCTTACCTAGTTTAGCCTTGGTGTGTTTGCCAGTCTCAGGGACGTACTTGTTCACGGTGAAGTCGAAGATGCTGACGAAGTAGAGGGCCTGCTCCTCGTGGTCCCAGTGTGGACCCTCACCCAGCGTCACTGGATCTGTCACTGCTTTCAACTCGGGCGCCATCTGGAATTAATGGAAAGGTGTTATTGTCACATTAGGCAGGTAATATTTGAAAACTGTTTATTACAAGGAATTATGGAACTATTCCCCATGACGGACTCCTAAGAGCATAACACTTTTATTATCGTATTTTCAAAAAATGTTTTCTTAGTGGTCCTAGATGACGTCATTAAGTAGATGGTAACGAGAAAAGCTTTTGAGCTTAAAATACCGAATAAAAAAAATACAAAATAAACAAAAATAATTCACCAGCGGTTTATATAAAGACAGCCCCAAAACGAGGAAGTTGGTTAAAAATGGTAATGTATAATTGAGTAAAAACATTTTTAACACTTGTACTCTATTAGAATCAGGATATGCAGTGTCCACTTCCAAACTTTATTATGACTGTTATACGTCTCATAACTCACTTATTATACTAATACCTCAAGTGTTCATGACCTACGACTGTTCTCGCCTGGGGAAACCAGTCAGTGAACACGTCATAACTAAACACAGCAATACAAGACGCAAAGGTGAGAAAACTTCTCAAGAAGTGACTACTCACCTAATGTTTTGTAAACAACTTAGTGATTAATATACGCAGTACGCACGAATTCCCCCAAGCAACGGGTAGACAGTATGTGACACACCCACTTTTATTCATGACGTCAATATATGACGGTCCAGGTTATATACGAAATAAGTCGACTGCTTCGCTGGCCGAGTGGTCGCAAGTGCGATTGCCAGGCAGTCTCGGATTCGATTCCCGTATTGGGCAAAAAATTACTGGGTTTTAAAAAAAATCGCAGTGGTAGTACGGAGTCTGGAATTGTGCCCGGTATATGGCAATAGGTTCACCCCCTTTTACATGGAATTCATAACATAAAATAGTGAAAAGTGGGTGTTACATAGTACAGTGACATTAAGTGCCGTAATGTGCACCTCTGCCTACCCCTTCGGGGATAAAAGGCGTGATGTTGTGTTATGAAGAACGAAAGAAGTGCCTATTGAAATAAGAAATACGTATCTGAATCTAAATAACAATTTTGTGTTTGATTTAATAAAATACAAACCACTTTTTATGTTCAACAGTTGAACTTTAAGAATTTAGGCCATCAGTATAAGTTTATTACAATTAAAACATGTGGACAGTCTAAAAGCGACCATATTTTGATAGAGACAAGAGCTTAATTATGAGTTCCATAAATGTAATTGAATTGCAGTACATTAGGTACATGTAGAAAGAATTAACCCTTATCTAATATTTAAGGATAATATTTCAAATTAATAAAGCTTCAGTGCAAATAACTATAATATGGAATAAAAAATCTAACTCACGTGTGTCGTTTGTAAACCGGTCCAACAAAATTGTTGGACGTCAACCACAGCCCACAGTATTTACGTTAGGGAATCCTTATAAGGTGAAGTAACTTGTTTCCAAGCAGAAAACTCATAAATATACTGTTTACTAATAATATATATCAGTAATTCACAGGTCACTGGTGAAGGAGAATTCAAGCGTGAAGTTACAAAAAATTAATATAGAACAACGGAACTAGTTTCGCGAAAACCTCAACGCACAATTATATGAAAACTTGATTCGATGACTTTTATAGTTGTTATAATTATTTAAATGGCCCCGGAAACATCATATATATTGCTAAGGATTTTCCTTCGTTAACGATTTAACAAGAAAACTGATGTCATTTTAATTTAATTAGAAATCGTATAAAGATATATATATATATATATATATATATGTATAGATTAGTTACTAATAAATGGAAAATGTTTTTAACTTACATTTCAATCTGACAAAACGTAAGTAAAATGAAGATTTTGAACTCTTCAAAGGTTTTTTAAATAACGTTATTCACTAAATATTTGATTTAAAAATTGCACGTTTGTCTTCGACTTGGTTAGTCAACTTGGTCTAGTCTTGATTGCAGTGCTATTTTAGAACATGTATGAATGAGACGCGACATTAGACCCTGACCTTGAGGAGGCTTTGAACTGCCTAATCATTATTTAGTTCTCGCTAGTTGCTAGCTGAGTTCCAAAAAATTATGCGTCATTGATGTGTGTCTCAAAATCTAATGAACTCGTTTAATACTACTAATACTATAAATGCGAAAGTATGTGAGGATCTGTGTGTGTGTATGAGGGAGGGTGTGTGTGTATGTGTGTGAGGGTGTGTGTGTGTGTGTGTGTATGTGTGAGGGTGTGTGTGTGTTTGTTATTCTTTAACGTCAAAACGGCTAAAGCGATCCAGATGAAATTTGGACTGCCTCATTGGCCGAGTGGTCATTGCGATTGCCGGGCTAGGGGTCTTGGGTTCGATTCCCGGGTCAGGCAAAGTATAACTGGGTTTTTTAAAAAAAATCACAGTAATAGCACGGAGTCTGGAATTGTGACCGGTATATGGCAATAGGCTCACCCCCTATTACATGGGACTCATAACATAAATAGTGAAAAGTGGGTGTTACATTGTACAGTGGCATAATGTATACGTTTGCCTACCCCTTCGGGAAAAAAGGCGTGATGTTATGTATGTTATGTGATGAAATTTGGAACAAAGGTAGATTTTTTTAAACATATTTCTTATCGTAATTTTTTTTTCCTCTGATACAAACTGTGTTTTTTGTCTTTATTACATTTCCTGTCTCAGGTCTACTAGAAGATATTCCAACAGGAATAAGTAGCACCTTTGTACTCTTATTTTATAAATGTGTTATCCTCTGTGCTGTTTGTGTGTACATAAATTATTAAATGAATAAATAAATAGATTATGGTCTATAATAACACAGACTACTTTTTATCTCATGGGAAGACTTATGGCATCAAGCTGACGAAAGACGAAAACCACGAAAACATTCCCAAAAGCGAGACAGAGAAACCCCTTATATCAGATTCTTCGGCCCCCTAACCGGAAAAAACGTTGAAAAATATAATCTAGGGTGACGAACTAATACCGTGATCTACCAAGGAGGGCTTTCCAAAGATATGGTATTTGTACATATTAGATCTGTATTCAAGATAAATGTTCTTGAGATGAGATAGTGGACGATAGACACCCAGTCTCCGAGCTATGTTACCAACCTCTTATAGATTACATGTGATGGTAAAAACCCTTCACTACCGTATACCGAGCTATTGAATGGTTACTTAACCCCCTTAACAATTCTTTTCAAACCAAACTCCTTAAAGTATTAAGTACTAAGGAATAATTTAAGTAATTATTAAATGACTCGGAGTACGGCAGTTACAATGTCTTATAAAGAAGATTAAAGACATATTTTTTAACTTTAATAGAAAACAAAGGCAAACGGAATGTTTCTTTATAGACGATAAAAGAAAGTAAGAATAAAATTAATAATTTATTCGCCAGATGTTGCAGAAAATTATGACAAAAACCTTAGACTTCATGGCAGTAGCCTCGCAAGTTATTACATGACACCCATAGCGGACAAATACATAAGATATGTAATTAAAGAATAGAGCTATTACCCTTCTTGAAAAGGAATATAAAGACTCGAAAAAAAAAATGATATTACATTTCTTTTCGTATTTTACTATCAAAAGTATGGTATAGTACATACCTTACAAGTCACAACAATATCACAGATGTAATCACACAATCAACTGCGAGTAATGTCAACTTATCATTGTTATATACTGTTACATATATCTAATCTAATCTGTAGCAGATCTAATTATAACAAGTGCCGATACACACACTCTTGCTTCCATATAATATCGTTCTTGGACAAATAGTGGCTAATAAGAAGTCATTCCGTTCTCTACAATTTGCTTTTTTCAATAGATGATATGAACGATATATTGGAATGGATTAAATGACAATGGATTAGAAATTAATAGCGCGTTTTAAGGTTTACTATATCGTGCTACATACCTTATACTCTATTGTACTTATGTTTGCTGCGATTACAATCAGAAGTAGGCATGTAAGTCACTAACTAACTGCAATTTAGGTACTGTAACTTATGGCCTACCGCATGCGTAGGTGATAGACGTTGGATATGTTTATGGCTAAAGTTATGCTAATTTGAAGATCAACGCCCTTAATCAGAATTATGTTTTTAAAAATGGGTCCTAAAATAGTGCCCTGTGGGAAACTCTCTTAAGAAAGGCCTATGGAAGAGTTTGAAAAACTTTAAGTCTTAATCAAGTTAGTATCATTAGTACGGGTTTTCAAAAAACACATATCAATAGGTTTTCTTAAAAAATATACATACATGTTGGTAGATTTACATTTGGACCATATGAAACGCTTTAGAACAATTTAGGAACATGAAGATATCGTTTTCCTCTTTAAATGATAGATTAGATGGTCAAAGAAGCAGACTAGATAAGGCTTGCATTTAAGCACTGTCTGATTGTCTGATGCAAGCTCGTAGCACTACTGTCAAAATAACAGATAATAATATATCAGACATACATAATAATATGTCATATTTTTAAGAAGGTACTTTATGACAGCTTCCTGTGATAATACCGTTGGTTTTTTGCTAGATATTTCGATAGATATTTTTGATTTCTCTGTATATCTTGTCGATAAATTGGAGACAAGAAAATCATCGATTTATATTTTTTGTGTGTGCATACCTATTATGTGATGAGTCTGGTTATTTCATACCATGTTATTAAACAAAATCGTAACTTAAAGAAACTCCTTGATTAAGGTTTTCTTACCCCATGTACACATACTAAACGTTGTAAAGATAATACAAACACAAAAACAGATGTCAACATTCTTTCCTCCACCGATGACGATGGCGCGAGAGACTGAAGTTACTTTTGAAGGAATATTTTCATTAGTGCTAGCATTCAGCGTGAAATTACTTTAGTACGACTGTTTTTTACTCTATCATCGGATTTACTTTTCTTCAATTTAACTGGCAAATTAGATTATCTAATTGTAACCTTCGCACTTAGTATTAATTCTAACATTAATGATCAAGTGATCCCGTCTGTTTGAATTTGAATTGATCCTTTGATCGGGGTTAGTTAGTGCACAAAGCACAAAGGCACAAAGGTGCTATTGTCATAGTTAAAATAACCATAACCAAGGTTCAATCATATCATACTCTCGTCGTTAACACGTTAACCGCCGCGTAGGTCGCCGGTGACCTACGTTTGTGGAGGATTCGCCTTCAGCAGTTTTCTGTCGGCAGTCAAAGGCTTAAGAAAAATTGACGTATTTACAACCGAATACTGAGAGGCTTCTCATTTTTAGCTTTACTTAAATATCGTGTCGTCTCTATAATTTTACAAAGAATGTATAGTGACAGAACTATATTAAAGCGCGACTTCCAAAATTTTAACTGGATAATTATGTTTATTTGTAGGTAGCCCAAGGTTCCATCAGCCACTTTCCAATTTCATCATCTCGATGATAAAATAATTTTGTATGGTCATCCAATCTACATTTTAATTATAATTACCAAGTTTCATGGTGATACAACAGTAAATCGTTCGTGTAATTCTGATTATTAAAATATAATAAGTAATCTGAATTTTACGCACTTGGACTGTCACAACAATGAAAAGTTATTATTAAAATCTAATAATATGGATTACTTGCATATTTAATTGTTATATTACGTAGTTTGTTACGTGAATGGTTCAAAGGGCCTAGTGCGATTTTTTTGTTAAGTTAACGTGATCGGTTTGATCTGTTCTTCTGATTCGTTTGGTAATTGGGAGCTGGCCAATCAAAGCGAACGTCATAAATGTGTCGATCGCCTTAGTGTAAAACAAACGCACTAGGCCGTCAATACAAGTTATTTACCTGACTGTTCCATCACTCCTTCTCGTGTAGTTTCAGCTCCTGGCGGTTTCCTCATCCAGGTAGGGTTACTCTGGGATCTTAGGAACAGCTATGACTTCCATCCCTTTTCCAAACACACATACTGTTATAGATTCGCTGAAATATTAATATAAGGTCAAGAAAATTACACTTAAACAGTAGTACCTGTACTGGTTAGTATTGGGATATAGATTTTAAAAAGGGATTTAGGAAATCGTTTTAGAAATCAAACACTGTTTGATATTTGTTATCAGTAATCATAAGTTATCGATAATAAACATTAAGGCAGCTTGCTATTTGGCAAGTGGCGATTTTAACTAGTGGCAGTGTCTACATGTTACAGACGACTAGAGATGAACAATAACGTTCACTAAATTTTCAATGGCCCTAAGTCTAACTGTGATTCCCAGTCGCCCGAGGATTGTCGTGATTATGGTAAACTTAAGAGAGGTTAAATTTAGCAGTAGCCTTAACTACTAGAATAGTTAGCCAACAATATCGATACACAATGATCTCCGATGACTTACCAATTGTGATCCAGAAGGTCCATCCCTTGAACATCGCTGACCATTGTATGAGATTGCGACAAAAACTTGCAATCTATTCCCTCTTCATATATCTTCCATCGAAACAATGTTATCCTCTGATCTATTGACGTAGAAACTAGATAGTCATCTACTAAAATAAGCCCAGTTATCTGTGAGCTGTGGTTGTTTGCACTTTTCCAAGTATGTAGTACTCTTGCAGATGTCATGTTACCCTGGACATTGATTTCTACTATTATAGTGTGGACAGCGTTATCGTCGCCCCCAGTGGCTACAAGAATCTTATCTTCAGACACATTGACGGTAGCTATGCTGTTTATACCTGATTTATTAGTTTTTGTACTGAAAAATGGTTCAAAATTGTCATTTGTAATGTCTGTTACATTCCAAAATGTAACTTCGCTCCTAGTCGTACATGTGATCAGGATGTTTCTGTTAAGAATTTTGATACATTTAGTTTTCAAAACACAAGTTTTGTGATACTTCGCTTCTTTGATAATCTCTACCTTTTTACTATCTTCTTTGAAGGAGAACACTCTTACATAAGAATCGGAGCAACCTGCAAAGATGATAAGTCCATCTTTATCACTTATCACATCTATGTCCATGATTCTCATTTCAGGGTCAAAGTCAATGGAACAGTTCCTCCATGTCTGATTCCCTTTCCTCTCCTTATCTGTACCTCTTATTAAGTAATCTACTAATTCTTCTGATGTTACCTTGATATTGTTATCTTTGTGAGTTAATTTTATATCTTTTATGCAAAGCTGAGCTCTTCCTCCAGCTGATAAAACTAAGAAATGGTTCACATCTATGGAGAATGTTTTTAATGTTCTAACACTAGATAAGTGTTTAAAGTTAACTTCGTCTTTAAAGTTCCTTTCTGCATCAACACTGGATATTCTTAGCGTAGTGTCTTCTCCACCAGTAATGTAAATTGTGGCATTACCAATTCTATGTGATTTCAAACAATTAATTTCTTTAGCATGTGATCCATTTATAACATTCCTTGAAACTATTTTACTCAGTTGGAATGTTACAACATTTATATCTGAGTTTTTCAAATAAATCAGTTTTATGAATTCTTCGTAATTTTCATTTACTTTCTTGAAGTATCTGACTGCATCCCAGGACCTATGTCCACCTCCACACGCCACTTCTAACATTTTACTATTCTCATTAACATTGTACACAACAAAAACTCTTTCTTGGAATCCACAAATAATATTTTCATCTTTATCCAGGAATTTCTCGACCCATTCGAAAGCTAAATCTTTGCTGCTCATATGTTTTACTACATCGCCATTTATACTAAAATATTTGATAGTCCCATCTCGTCCAGTAGTAATAATTCTATTATTTCTAACACTAATGGATGTTGGTCCATATCTCCCGTGTACCTTATGGAAGGTCTTCACTGGGTTATTCTGGCCTTTGATAAAAACATGTATGTTACCACATCTATCTCCAACAATAAATCTATTGTTCTCCAGTTGTATTGCAGAAGCTGTGAGCCATCTTTCTTTGCAGTTTGGAAGAACAAAATTGGCGTATACTTCCACACTTGCGTTACTAGAAGCTAATACAGTAATATGACCATCTCCAGAACAAAGTACTAGATGCCTATTTCCCGCCCATTGCATGGACAAAATCTTTCCTATTTGCAATTTAGTATGAACAATATTTAGTAAAAAAGCCTCATCCTTACATTTTTCTATGAACACATCCAGCTTGCCTGCCATATCTGCTACAGCAATCAGTTGCTTACAGGACGATAAAGCTAGCAATTTGTAAGTAGATTCATGATTTAATTTATGTTCAGTTTTATTTTTATTAACAACGTCGTAGTAAATTAAATTAGCCTCATCCATAATAACTAAGTTGTTTCTGGCGGTGAACAAAACCTTTTTGGGAGTGGCTACACCTACATCAATGATATTTTCTTGGCAGTAATCTGTAGCTATGGTCAGGGGATGTAAAATGACTCCGCTGTCCCCACCACCAGTAACTAAACTGGTACCATCACTGTCGACAGACCATATACATCCGTTTTGATGTGTGAGGGCCTTTTTTAATAATTTACCATCATAATCCCAGTAACATATGGCCGAGTCTTCACCTACGGACACTATTAGATTATGTGTTATGCAACTCCTCATGACTCTCGCTAAATGTCCGTAGACGTCATGTTTACAAACTATTTCTATACCTTCCCAGTATGTCACTGTATTGTGTGCATGTGCTGGTGGTACATTGGGACCCCATATCCTTACAGACCTGTCATCTGATGTGGTAACTATCGTGTTTCTATGTGATTCATATGATATCGAGAATATTACACCCTGAAAACAAAAGATTTATGATTGCCTTGACATGTGTTTATTTAGTGTAATAAAATCAGGGTGAATGTGACAGGGAGTCTCAGGTTTGATTCCTGAGTTGGGAAAACATTATTGGATGATTTTTCAGTTTAAGTAAATTAGCTGAGTAGTCAGCAATAGTTTTACCCTCAATCAGAAAACTGCCTCGTTGGCCAAGTGGTTGCAAGTGCGACTGCCGGACAAGTAGTCTCGGGCGATTTCCGGGTCAGGCAAAGTATTACTGGGGTTTTTAAAAATTCTCAGTAGTAGCATAGAGTCTGGAATTGTGCCCGGCATATGGCAATAGCCTTACCCCTATTACATGATATAAATACCAAAAAGTGGGTGTTACATTGTACAGTGGCATAATGTCCAATCTGCCTATGTTATGTTAGAAGTTTTGTAGTATGGTCTGAAATTGATACCTTATGTCCTTTCAAATGGTGTAAGGCCTCATCCTTACTAGCTCTGTGTATGATGACTTCGGAGAAGACCGTCCCTGCCATCACCAGGACATCATCTTTCAATGCCAACAGCAGTCCACTGTATAGTATGGAGTTATTGTGGCTTGGCTGCTGTGATATCAGTGTTTGACTGAGTATGTTCCATTTCTATAAGAAATAATATTATAGTTAAATAAGGCTTAAGATTATATTTCTAATAATCACCTTAATTAATCTAGATATAAGTAACTACCTAGTTTAGAACATTATCAAGTTATGGGTGAAGAAGTGTTAGTTTACACTGAAGATATCTGACAACAGTTTTAAGTCGATTTAAGTAGCCGCAGATGACAGAATTGATTGCTGGGGCTGCGGTCAAAAGTACAGGAGTAGGAATGGGGTGGTATTTATTTAATAAGAGTCTGACACTCGCTCTCACCTCACACAAGCAAGATATTGGATGATTTTCTCACCTCAAAAAAAATTTATTTAAGTAGTAATGTCTGAGTTTATCTTATCATTTTAACATTAACTCGTCGAGTACCGTCATTATAGACACAATTATAGAACAATAGGTTGCGGTCACCGGTGACCGCTTGGTGTTTGACAGTTTAATAAAAGACCTTCTTCTAACCTTTTATTGGTTACATTACCTTTACAAACTACTCCAATAGAATATAAATTAAACAGACTACGAAGATAAGAACAAAGTCTCACCTGAACCACATTGTGCGCTGTTAACAATGCCACAACATCATCAGTCACCCAAACTGCAGAATGCAGCCAATCATCACATACTAAAGGCTTAAATACTCTATAAAATAGTTCAGAACCCTCATTAGAACCTTCAGAGTTCACTAACGTAATTACAGTAAACTGTTTTCCACCAAACACAAGTATATTTGTACCACATTCCGAAGGTACAAATCCATATATTTTCTGACCGTTTAAACCCACTAAACACTGTAATAACTGCGTAGATTCCTTGTCAAATATATTTACAGTGTTTCCAATACCTGAAAATGGTAAAATGTTGGGTATATTTAAAGCTATTTGGAATTTACAAGCACACTTGTTATGATAACGCATAACCTAAAAACTAACCGGCTAACAAGAATTTCTTGTAAAACTTTACAGCAGTTACGTCGGTACGTACTAATAAAGACATTATAGAAAAATTTTTACTTAAATCTTAAATATATATATTTTACAACAGGTAAAAGACCACACTTCAGTGTTTTGGTTGGTTTTGGTGTGATATTTTTGACATTGACATTTGTACTTTGACTTGACACTTTTGACAGTTCTAGTTAGAAATGACAGGACAGGCTGTTCTAAATTAGCAGCTAATACGTTCCGTTTGTCCGAAAAGGAAAGAAAGTGTATAATCATCAAAATAACACTAAACATGAATTAAATCTTTTCTTACCAGGAAATGACACATTATAAAAATTAGGTTACATTACATAGGTTTTCTACATGTTTTTACTCATTACTTTCCCAGAGGCTGATCACTGAGAGTTTTAAGGGTGTAAATACATTAAGAAGTCGATATCGACAAAATATAATTTATTTTTTACTTTTATTACAACATTAACAATCTAAAAGACATAAATTAATCCTGGTATTGATCGAGTGGGTACTTGTCAGGATATTTCTTTAGATGCTCTTCCATTTGTTTCATTTGTTTTCTGAAAAAGGAAAAAGTGTGTTAGAATTTATACAGTCTCATGTTTCTAGTAAAAAAGAAACCATTATTATCGGCTCACTGGATTCTAGGAGGCATGTCATAGTAGACATCTTCAAGCATTTCTTTCCAGTGTGGTCGCTTCTTTTTTTCAGCTTCTTGCATAGTTCTTACAACAGTGTCTCTTGATTCTTTCAAGCAAGTTTTCTCAGCTTCCTCATCCCAAATACCTGTAAGTTTATAGAAAAATGAGTAAATATCATGTCATCAACAGCTTTAACAGACACCAGTCTCTCTTTATTGTAACATATTATATAATTTGTATCCTTAGAGTATTTTGAGAAAATAAAGATTTTTATTATTATTATATTATTATATAGCTTATAAATGCCCACTGCTGCTTCTGACATGGAGAAGGTTAGAGCATTAATCACCATGCTTGTTCAATGCGAGTTGGCGATTTATTAAACTTATAATTAGAAATTGTAAGCCTAGGTTACCTTAGTTTCCTAGTTTTCCTTCACCGTTGGTCTGTGGTGTCTAAATAATCTTAGACAGCACATATAACTCGGAAAAAGTCACATTGGTACTTGCCGTTGGTAGGTTTCGAACCCGCACCCTCGTGGATGAGAAGCAGGCGTCTTCAACCTCCGGGCAACCACGACTAGTTATTTAATAAGAATAACTTGGTAAACCAACCTTTAGTTTCCAAATACTTTTTAAATTTATGAAGTGGGCTTTCATCTGTAGTCCACTTTTGTATTTCTTCAACTGATCTATAAGCCGTGCTGTCATCAGAGGTGGAGTGATGTCCCACTCTGAAAAGAAATATTGGTAGATACTTAGCTAAAGGAAAATTAAATAGATTTATACAGTTTATGTTGTGACCGAAAATACATTATATGAGTAACTCGTAATTGTTTACTTAATTCAGTATGTCTCACGAACATTATTATTATAACAACGATGATCTTACTTTCTAAATTTTACTCTATATGATGTGAGCATACTGACCTATAAGACATAGCCTCGATCAGCACTGGTTTGTTATTAGCTATAGCATATTCTCTGGACTGCTTCACAGCATTATACATGGCAAGGGTGTCGGTCCCGTCTACACGAATAGTGCGGATGCCGAGCGCAGGTCCTCGAGAAGCAATACCATCACCCCTGTACTGCTCGTTGGTCGGAGTCGAGATTGCGTAGCCGTTGTTTCTACTGCAAGAGTTAGTAAGGAGTTTAATACATTATCATTGTACAGGATATTATTACCAACTTATTTGGGCCGAGGCATGGCTCTCCCACACTTAAAAATTCCTTGCAATCACACTCGGCCAATTTTATCATCTATAATCCTATGGAAATACAACCATCCTGTTTTGTATTTTTAAGTAGGTCATAAGGCTAAGCTGGAAAAGTGAATTTACCATAACAAAATAACGGGACAATCTAGTGTAGCTGCAAAGTTAAACGCAGCGAAGGCATCTCCCTCGGACGCAGCACCATCTCCGAAGTAGCAGACGACACAACGGTCGTTGTTCGGCTGTCGCTTCAGGGCATAAGCTGCTCCAACTGCCTGGGGCATTTGAGTTCCTGAAATAAGCAACAATAACCACCAAATAAGTACCGGATGATAAAAAAATTAAAACGAAATAGCTTCAGTAAAGGACCAACAGATAAAAATAATTGGATCGTTTAGTTTTTGGAAGTGCCTTATGAAGACTATTTTGAAGTATGTCTTACCTAGAGGACTGGAAATGGTTACGAGATTAAAGTGCTTATTCCCGTAGTGGACTGGCATCTGCCTCCCCTTGCCTGGGTCCTCGTGGTTGCCGTAACATTGGTTGATGAGCTCTGTCACCGTAACTCCTCGGTACAGGAAAACTCCTACTTCTCGATATTGGGAGAACACCAGGTCTTGAGGGCTCAAAGCAGCTGCACTGCCAACGTGGATACCTTCCTCACCGTAGTTGGTCATGTAGAATGATATACGGCCTTGTCTGTAAGATAATTTTAAATCATTACAAACTAAATTAAAATGATATTTTGAAAACAAATAAAATTGAACCAATTTTTATAGCTAATACTTTAAGGTCAATTAATCTTTTACCTCATCAATGCAAACGAGCCTTTATTTTAATTTGTTAGTACATGAATAAAGTCAATAGCATCGCATGTCTGATTATGTCCTTCACTTAACATCACTTAACGTCATACGAGTTTAACAGCAGTAAAAAACGCAACATTATGATTACCTTTGAGACTCATACAAGATCTTGTCCATTTGAGTGAGCTGCACCATAGTTTTGTAGATATTCACAAGTTCATTTTTATCGATATTTGGCTCCTCCCTACTTTCGAGAACCGACCCGTTATTGTCCAACACTCGGTAGATAGGGATGGGGTCGTAGCTCGATTCGTTCAGGAACTTCATTTCCGTCACGTAGGGAGCTTTGGCGCCCGGAAATTCGGCATGTTTCGTGTTTTGTGCAATCTCCGGCCTTGTGTGAGTGGACAGCAGCTGTAACACACGTTCCACATACTTTAGGTACCACAGGACAAGCAATTCTAGGCTTCGCCCTGTGTCTGTGACTTTCACTATTGGGTAATGGTAAACAACAGTACAAAACAACGTTAAACTCAACGTTTTTAGGCACCTAATGAGTTCAACAAAGTAATGTTTTTTTAAATCTAGTCAAAACGCATAGCAAATGCAGAATAAATGTTTAAATACATTTAAATTAGCCGCTTTACGAACATTTAATTTTCATCGGGCAATCTTATAAGTTATTCAATCACGCCGTTCTTATCTAGCCGCAAAGAGTGATGTAATAAAAACAAACTTATGATTATGTTACTAGGTTCATTATTGACTGACGGTAGTGATAAAAATCCAAAATATCATTATCAACTTTAATCACTGCCCGCACTGATTTACTTCACTAAAAATACTTAATTATATGAAAAAATCACGTGTTTTGATATTTTAGGGGCTTTTACTCGTTTTAAAGTTAATTGATGGATGTTTAATAATAATTTAGTGATGGTAGAACTACAACTAACCCTGACAGCGGCATTGCGCAGCGTGTTCAACCGCAAAACACTAGCACCCGTCTTCAGCGCCATGTTGTGACTGACGTATACTCATTATAATTACACTATATCGTTGTTTAACGCATTAGCAATTGTGATAAGACGTTTCGTACAAGTATGTTCAGTATTTCAAACAAGTATTTTGAAACTGCTGTGCCGACGTAATGCTTTGATAACAGATGACGGCTCGGAGGGCAAGAGGTCAAATGCTAATCTCTCTTTGAGATGTTTAACAATAAAATGTTTGGAACCGGTTTGCAGCACACAAATATTAACTTAGAAGTGATACAGCAAATATTTTGTAGATTCTTCATTTATATTTAAGATATTTATATTTTATATTTGTACATGTACATACATACATACATACATATAAATAAAAATGAATTTCCGTTCGTTACTCTCGCTAAAACTCGATAACGACTGAACCGATTTGGCTAATTTTGTCTTGAAATATTCGCGGAAGTCCAGGAAAGAACTTCTTACAGAAACTTTTGATGTTATATTGATTCAAAATGTCGCGTGACGTCACTTCTGAGTACATTTTATACATACAAATGACGTTTTAGCCCCTACTCATGAACTTTGATTCGTTATATCTAAGTATCATTTTATCATACAAACAAATTAAAAAAATACGTGTCTAATATTTTTTTATTACCTATATGACGGACTAATTACATTTTTAATTTTCATACCTTTTAATCATCATCCCTATAATGACCTCATGTTAGTAGCCCCCCGTAGCCAGAATAATCCACACCTTACATACTTTTTAGACCAGCATAATAATGAGCTAGCTGGATAGTTACGTAAGATGGTGACTATATTGTATAGTCTATGATGGTGACTGCATCGTTGCTCAAGTGATCGCAACTGCCGAGCAGACGCAAAATTCGAAGACCGGGCAGTATACCTACTCGTAAACGTACAAGGTCTTAGTAAAAGTTCACATAGGTATACACATACATAGTAGGTACGTAATTACCTTCACTACTTAATACCAACTAGTTTTTTTTTCAAGCCACTAAGTATTACCTGTTGATGTCTTATTTATGGGAAAACATATTTGAGTCATACCTATACAGTTAGTTATTCCGCGTTAGAAATAACATGGGGCAATAAATATTGAGCAATAGGTACCTACCTAAGTTTTGTCAGTCAATGCCGTTCTCATTTCTCTGTGACTCATTACCACTCACGCAGTTAAAAAGCAGGCGACGGCTGATTTTCCTGTAGTCTGATAAGTGGCTCCAGCGCAAGCTGAGCTCTGAATCAAGGCGGAAATTTTGAAAAAATCTATAAAACTTCAAACTAAAAGGTGAAACTCTATTGGCAAGATATGAGATATCACATTAGTACGATTGATTATTACAGGCAACGAGCATATGGTTATGTTTCTGGGGTCTAGCTAGGCTGGTCGCAATTTATCACTTTTATAGATAATGGGCAAATCGGATTGCTAAAATCTAATCGCTGTTTTGATAAGATAGTGGCGGCTGAATTGGTATAAAAACCAGGCTCTTGGAAGCCCAGTCCATCCGACCATCGACATTGGGGCCTGTATTCATCGGTGGGTTCTTTTGGTAAATCTCAAAACCTTTTGATGTACCTAAATAATGTCTACACAGGAATATGATGAAGATTTCACTTTTTTTAGGGATCTTTTTAAATGTATCAACCGTTACCACCCCGGGTGACGAATCTATTTGCAAGTCTTAACCACAGTCGCATTTTTTTTCTTTTTGTATAGTACATGTCTGGATCGTTCTTGCTATGACGACGTCAGCGCGTTTCTGCCTTAATGGCGGGCGAAAATGCAATTATCGTTCGAGTCCAACTATAAAGATTGTTTTATTATTCATTGCATACAGCTTGACATCGTTTGCTTTTTAGGAATGTTTGTTATTAGGTAGATTATGTATGCTAGTCTCATATACGTCTGACCTAGTACGATCGCAAAGTCTAGACATTGGAGGCGTCAGGTCGGTGTTATAAAATCCAGATAGAGTCAAGATGGATTGGAATACTAACGCTCAGCGGCAATCCTTTTTTTTTTAAGCGGGGAAAATCATCGAATGACTGCTCCCGCCTGGGTGAGGCGGGAGGGAGTGTCAGACTCTTACTGACTAAAAACCACCCCGATCCTTCTTCTGCACGTCGAGCCGGAGCCCCGGTTACCCGTTAGGTTCTCCGCGACTCCGAATCGGTATCGGCCCTATTGGGACCCATCTGTGGTGGTCTGATGGCTCTTTGAGGCGCGCGCGGAACGCGACGCGCCGTACGCTCGGGTCTGTTTCTGGTCGGACGGGGAGCCACCCATGCTCGCCGTGCGCAGGCCCGCGCTTACGGTGGCCGGAGATCGTCCCGCGATCCCCGACGCCCGGTGTGTCCTTCGCGATGGCTGGGTTGCGAGGAGGCAGCGCTACGCTGCCTCACGGGTCCCGCCTCCTCCTTAGCTAGCATGACTGATTCGCAAAAGGGAGACAGCATCTCAGTCCCCCTCGCTCCGCATCATGGCCTGCACTAGGCCCGGACGCGAGAGGTCGCCATCGCCGATCACTTCCCTGAGGGCACGGCGGTACTCAGCCCACGCAGGGCATTCTCCCACCGTGTGTTCCACTGTGTCCTCAGGGCGGTCCTCGCAGTGATGACACCCGGGCGTTTCCTCCCGCCCCATCAGACACAGGTACCTCCCGAAACTTCCATGTCCGGTGAGGACCTGCGTCAGGCGGTAGGTGAGGACGCCGTAGCGTCTCTCAAGCCACTCCTCAAAGAGGGGTCTTACCGCTGCAATGGCAGCGAGCCCAATCCTATATGCGTCTAGGTCTCGGTCAAATAAGTTGAGTCATTGAGAACTTAGATATTAAAATTACTGACATATCTTGCCATTTATTGCATACGGTAGAAATCTAGAAACAATCATTTTCTTTTTTATGCAGGACGATATTTTCCCTCACATCTACTTGCATAGGTAAAACAAATGCGTTTCATTCGTTTGTAAAAAAAAACGTTGGGTTGGGTATTTTTGCTCACTAGATGACGTTAGTGTGAACCTCTCGTTCTTTGTCCATTAACGAATTATCTAGTATCACACTAATTATTCGTTCGACGTTCAATATTTGACTGCTAGTCTTTACCCTACATTTGCGCCATCTGGTGAGCAAAAAACGTTACTAGTAGAAAAGACAAATAATTAACTTAGTATGTTAAATCAATAATTCTAGGGTAAGGTAATAATCGAATTGATGTCGTTTACCATGTCGCCATTGCCATTCCAACTGATATAACGCCTAGACGCGTGGCATAAAATGCCATGCTCTCATCGTTTCCATCTGCTATTGATTTCGTTCTAATACACTGTATCTGTAATAATTGATTAATATAAAAAATACTGCGTTAACTACCTTTTCTCCATTATAATAATCGCATTTTCCAAAAAAAAAAAATCATAATTTTTTTTTACATTGCAACACAACTTTTTTTGTTTATGTTTTTGGCAACAATCCGCAACTGGAAACGTCAAACGTGTTACTATAACCCTATCGAGTTGTATTATTGATATTTTAGCAAGGTTTTATGCGAATTATAAGTGCTTTGCGATTCGATAGTATTATATTAGTTGTCAGTAATAAATAAATGGCTGTGGAGGTTAGTGACCGTGTATCGATAATATTTGTGTTATAGTGAAGCAACGACTATGCCTTACTGGTACTATGACAAGAAAGATCTCCAGAACACGCCGTCGTTCAGAGATGCCATTACTACGGAGACAGAGAACCGATACAGGAAGGAAGGCGCCAGGTTCATCATTGACACAGGCTCGAAGATGGACCTAGGTTATAACACAGTGGCCACTGGAGTTGTTTATTTCCATCGCTTCTACATGTTCCATTCGTTCAGAACATTCCCGAGGTACATCACAGCTTGCTGTTGCCTCTTTCTAGCGGGAAAAGTAGAGGAGACGCCAAAGAAATGCAAAGACATTATAAAAGTGGCCAAGTCTTTGCTTACGGAACAGAAGTTTGCTAGTTTTGGAGAAGATCCCAAAGAGGAGGTGATGACTTTAGAGAGGATCCTGCTGCAGACGATTAAGTTCGACTTACAGGTGGAGCACCCGTACGGCTACTTGTTAAAGTACGCCAAGTGTCTCAAAGGCGACAAAGCCAAGCTACAGAAGATGGTACAAATGGCGTGGACATTCGTTAACGACAGGTCAGTACTGGAACTAGATTTTAACTTGTATAACTGTAGCTTAACGGCTTGGATGTTTTGCTGTTGGTAAAAATCAATCAAGCGAACCCTATGTGAGGTCGATGGTATTTTTTCATGGTATTAAAATCGAGGGGTAACGGGCTATTTGGTTTAAGCGACATTTTTGCAACTTTACAGGAGAGCCTTTTAAAGTTTGAAATTTCGAAAAAAAATTCATAACAAAAACGCTTCTGCAGATATTTGAACGGGGTAAATTGCATTGAAATTTAAATAAAAATATCTAGTTGCTGATGCTAATTCCAAATAAAGCGGACCTTTAATTACAAAGATAAATGTCGCTTAATACAATCTGCCCTTTTTTAGAGTCAGGAAAAATGATTTAAGTGACTTCATAACTACAATTGGCTACAAGGGAAAAAAATTAAGCGACGATGCACTCTATTTACAGAGTAAGCCAAAAAGTATGAAGTAACGAAACCCAAAATAAATAGAAGCAAGCTATTTATCTCAACTACCAATTTAGACTAAAATGAGTAACAGGCTAATTTACTTATGTGACATATAACATTGAAATTGTATCGTTAAATGTTTATGTTTATTTACATCTAAGACGATTAATGGCTGATAAAACAACCTGGATATATCGAAACAACCGAAAATCTCAGGTGCTTACATCGGATAAATAAACACAACACAATATCAAAGTATTTATTTAGATTAATAATAACAGTCTGCATAGGAACAACGATTATATTATTATTTATTCAGCAAAATCAGATAAATTAATGGGTTATTTACTGAAATTGCCGTTTTGTATGAAAAAATTTAAACGATTTTTTTCATGTATTTTTTATTTGTATTTATCGAAGTAATCACCCATGTAATCAATGCATCGTTGCCAACGCAGTGGCAGTTTATTGGGCATCAATAAACTGCCACAAAATACTTCTTAAACAAATCAGCTGGACGGGTGGCAACAAATTCTTTAAATGCATTTTGTACTGCCTCTCGGGTAATGAATTTTTTTCCCGCGAAGAAGTTATTCAAATTCTGGAAAAGAAGTAGTCTGGTGAGTAGGGTGGATATTGGAGAGCTTCCAACCCCAGTTCTTGTAACTTGGAGACCATCTGTTGTGCAGCTTTAGGTCGCGCGTTGTAATGCAGGAGCAATGGAGATGAGCGATTGACCAGTGCTGGTTGGAGATGTGTCAGCTTCTCCATCATTGTGTTCAGTTCTTCACATTACACATCCGCAGTAATGCTCACTCCGTTTGGTAAGAACCTGTGATGAATCAGACTGGCGCTAGACCATCAGTGACCATCACTTTTCTAGGAGTAAGTTTTCGTTTCGGGTATTGTTTAGGTGCTGAACTAACTACTACTACAACTATGTTGAGCAGTGCAAGGCACTGCTCGATGCATACTTAGCTCTGGCGATCATTGAGTTTGTGGGACACCCACTTGTCAAGTTTTTTTACCTTGCCAATTTGACGTAAATGGACCAATATTGTTTTGATGCTAACGTCGAAAGCTGTTGCTAAATCAGCCGTAGATTGTATGTCATCAGCTTCCACAATAGCCTATTGTCACCAAAGTCTTCGGACGACCGCGAGGTTGATCTTGAAATTAAAGTACTTAGGATTCAATTTCGATGAGCGTTTTACGTAAACACTGGCGGTGAGTGCGCGTCCCGTCTGTCTTCGACGCATTCTGGAGTGACTGAAGCGCCAGCGCACGATAGTCCAGTTGGATGATCACGATTTTTAACACCCGGGCGATGAAATAAATATAGTATCATATGACATGATTGAAATGTACCATATTAAAATTTAGTGATTTAAAGGCCGATTCATATTTTTATGAATACTGGCCAAATGTTTCAATATCCATTATTAATGTTATCATCTGTACAAAACGACATGCATTTTAAAAAAAAGGAGGGCTAAATGATTTATGACTAAACAAAATATCTGAACGAAAACGACTATTTGGTTTAAGTAGCACCCTGCGTGGAAAATAAAAGCAGCTAGAAGTGTTTAAGAGACGAACCATGTCGTATTTGGGTGACGGATAAATGTTTTAAGCGACAACACACCGTGTGATTAGTGGGAAGTCAAAATGATTCAAGTTACTTGCTAGTAAAAATTAGAAACAGGAAAAACGCTTTAACTCATTTTGACTTATTAATTAGAGATAGGGTGACTGGTTTATGTCTCGGTTATTAATATGATGGTATGGTTCAAGTACATAATTTAATAAAAAATGCGAAATCCGTGTCGTTTAATACACTGTCACTTTGGAAACAACACGAAAATAGAATTGTTTCAAACGCCAAAAAAGTGCTCTGATTTTAATGAAACCGGCATCAATCGACGGAGAAAAATTCGCTGATTCCGAATATATATATAACTCAATATCGCCCAAAATGTCGCTTAAACCAAATAGCCCGTTACCCCTCGAAATAATGACTACATAATTAACTTGTTTATTGACTGCATTTATTGTTATAGTATTTGAATTGGATTTACGAACCATTATCATATTACTGCAATTATCTAAAAATGCATTACTACTACATAATAGTATAATGATGATGGGTATAATAGTTAAATTGGTGTTATTTATTTCCAGTTTGTGCACAACATTATGTTTGCAATGGGAACCTGAAGTCATCGCAGTAGCACTAATGTTCCTAGCAGGGAAGCTCAGCAAGTTTGAAGTCCTAGACTGGAATGGAAGAAATCCTAAACACAATGCCTGGTGGGACATGTTTGTAGAAGACATTACAATGGAGCTACTTGAAGATATTTGTCATCAAGTAAGTTTTTTCTCATATTCTACGCTTTAATTTTGTTATTGATAATGGTAATAGTAATAAAATCTTTTAATATGATTACACATTACCTTATAATCATCACTAGGTGTGGGCTAATCTTTAGTGTTTAGTTATATACAGTAATCTAATTAGTTTGTGCTTTAATTATGTTCCGTGATGAAGTTATAGAGCCAAACATTGGGCATTATTTTGTTTATTCCAAGTAAGATATTACTAAAACTATGTAAAATTGCCTAGTCCAATTACATTCAAATAGAGATGTTGATCAATTACCACAAGTAAAGTTTTTGCACCATAATGCTTTGCAATGTATGTAACCATGTAGAGGACAAACAAATTACCATGCGGTCAACATTGTCACATGCAATTTAAGTGGTCTGTGTACAATGAAGAATGACAAGACCTTCCTGTCCTCCCTGCTGGCAATTGTTGCAGTTTCCTGTTGCTAAAGTGATTGCAATTGTGAAAGATCATAATAGATTGTTATGCACTGCAAAATTTAGAGATCTGTCTGTTTGTTGTCTGTTAAACTGTGCCTACTTGTTGCCTAGACATGTAATTAATGTTTTGGGATGTGTTTCGCTATGTCAGGCATATACATAAAGTTCACTGATGTTGAAGGAGAAAGTGTGGTAAAAGCCATGTTTTTCATTACCTAGGAAAGGTTTTGACACAAGTTACAGTACATTGTGACAAAAATCGAAATGAAGGTCATTCTAAACATAGTTATAGTGCTGTATTATTAATCATAATAACACAGTAGACAGACTGACATGAACAATTCAGGTTAATTTCAAGCACTACACATTAACCTAGATGATTTATCTGGTCTATTTTTTGGACGAAATTATATGCTACTTCAGAAAAGAATATTGATTGTTTTTGTGTAAAATTATTTCCGACAAGTTGCTTATGTATTTATGTGTTGAATGGGGTGTTTGCCACTTTAACTCGTCGAGTACTGTCATTATAGACACAAATATAGAACAAAAGGTTGCGGTCACCGGTGACCGCTTGGTGTTTGACAGTTTAAATTGGTTGACTGCTTATTGATCAACTATCTAACAAAAAAAATTGTAATTGCATTATCTTAATCCCTATCCTTGTTGTTCCAGGTGTTAGATCTGTACTCTCCTCAGCCGCAGTCATCGGGCGGCGACTCCCCGCCCGCTCCCTCTCCTGCCAAGCAGCCAAAAAACGAGAAGAAGCCCCCCTCCATTACACCGCCCACTTCCGCATCACCAGTCGCCGTTGTCGTTTCTAAACCGATACTGACTCCGATGAAGAATGGAGCAGATATTAAAGTAGACCCTCCAAAGATGGAGCCCATAAGGTACACGTATCCAGCGTATCCAGGGATGCCGGCTTACCCTGCAGTATACACAGCGCCGCCGCCCTCCATCCCGCCGCCGCCGAGGCTGCCGTTGACGGGGCCGCCGCCCCCCTCGCTGGTGTATGCGGAGCCCCCACCGGCGCCTCCGCCCCGCTTCCCCCCGGTGAACGTTCCTCCCCCAAACTACTTCCCCCCACTACCAGGGCGTGGGCCCCCGCCCCCCGGCCCCCCGCCGCGGCCCTACTATCCGCCGCCGTGATCCTAATGTAAGCAATAGGTTATTGTATAATTTTTTACTGAAATATAATTTTAGAATATAATTTCGTGTTTTATTTAAAAGATCTATAACCAACTTAAACATAAACCTTGTGAAATAAAAAGACGATAAACGTTTCTTAGTATTTTATTGTCAGCTTCTCACGAAGTTTTGAATATTACTCCCATCTGAAGATCACGGCACTCATGCCTGACAGGACTATCCACAGTGTATAAAAATATCAATACTGGAATTATGGTAGAAGTAACTGCAATATATAATATGCAGGATCAAGGCAGAATCTGTACAAGTACAACACTGTATTTTAGTAAAGTTAAAAATAATTTCATTATTTCTGTACTGGGTCCCCCAAAGAAAATAATATTACAATTAAAAGTTTGGCACACAAAATATTTTAGATCAAATCCACACATTTTTTAATATTTATTAAAGTCTTGTTAAAAATATTTCAGCGATAAGTTTGTAAAGGTTAAAATGAACGTTTTATAGCCAAAATGATTCTTTAGGGTCCGTAAAAAGTTAAAATGTATGTACAAATCAATAATGGGCCTACCAAGATTGTTTTTAGTCATAAATACATCACAAAAAGAACACAATACCTCTGTAAAAAACACATTAGTGACTATAAGATGTAAACCTTATTTGATAATAATTTGTGCATACAAACGAGTTGAAGCTTAATGTACAAGCTAACAAACTAACAATAATATGGAGTTGCCGGCGGACTAGAAACGAAACTACGAATACATACAGTATGAACACATTGCATGCACTAATCTGCACTGGGTGGGCAGAGCTCGACAGTGAAACCATATGCAATTTTTAAGGCTACATATTGGCGATAATTTGTCAGGTCATAAGATTTGTTGCTACTGATTATAATAAAAAAAAACTTGATTTAGCAAATATAAAAACACTGAGATATAAAGCAATAAAATCTAAGTTATTCATCGGTAGCAATTAAACTATGGATCCTAATCTCACTGTCAAGCCCTACTGAAGAGATTTTCATAATAAATTTCAACAACTTTATAGTGTAATACTAGTATAACATACATGTGCGACTGACAATGTCGACACATCAATTACGAACGGTATAAAACAGCCATCACGAAGATTTTCAACAATCTCATGTTATATTCTGTATGTTCTTTCTTCCTTACAAAATATTGTCGTAGTACACATTTATATTTAGAACTTTAAGTCATTCAATGTATGTAATAATTTGATTATTTTCAATTCATCGTGTAGTACAAATTATGATCAAAATCTACTCTTATATACCCTTTCATAGGGAGTCAGACATTTTAGAATACTAAATGCAGTCTTAATAATTGTTTTTATGTTACTTATCAATTATTGATTTCGAATAAAAAATAATATAAATGAATTTTTTACACTAAACAATATAGTTGTCTAGTTCTCAGAAACGGTTTATGATTAGAAAAATTGTCTTTCCATGTAATGAAACAAATATTTTGCAAGGTGAAATAGTCTAAAAACATGCAATGGTTGTTGAAATCCCTCAAATAACAACTTATAATATAATCCTAGAAGGCACGCGATAGAAACATCAGATCATCAATAATCTCTGACTAAGGCACGTCAATACAATTCACAAGTAACTCGTTGCGTGAGGCAGGACACCACAGGGGAAATAATATAAATATAGTAGAAATAATAGCATCCACGAGAAACTTTGTGTATGATCTTTGAGCGGTAGATAAATTGACATGAACAAGTTATAAATAGTTATTTGTATGTAAATATACAACAAACAGTAAAGAACACCAGGCATCCTGCCCCACAGTCACACAATAATACTTTCATTGATTTACAAATAAATTCATTTAAACACACCCACAAAGGGATATCATATAAAAATCCATTCAACAATCACAAAAACTCTGTAAGTTCATAAAAATCACTTTCTATACAAACATCATTTAATATAAAACATTAAATAAATACACAATATACAAAATCACTAGATGAAGGTGGAACATTTTGTCATCTCAGTCATCAATCGTACAAATCTCAAGGTAATAGATCTATGATCCAGTCGATCGATATTATATCTTACATCTATGTGTATAAAGTTCATAATATATTACAATATTGTTTTCAATCAACCTTAGGCCCAAATTATGTTATAATTTGCGTAAGGCATGCTCTGACAACTGGCGAGTTGAGCAACATCGAGTATCGAGAGGTCCAACAATTATAATATCGATTAAATTGACTCGATAATACATAATGTTAGGATTAAATTTTAAACTTATATTAGTCAATCTCATGTAATCAGAAGTCACTTGATTAATGTCCACGGGACACTTGTATGAAGCAGCACTGTCGTTACATTACGTTAGTGTTGTTATGTAGGTCGATTCGTTATGTGTCGTTATATGGTCGTCTATATGAGCCGCGACTGCTTGAGGTAGTGCAGCAGCAACTGATGCAGGAACTTGTACTGGTGCACGTTCTGTATCATGTTGGCGCGCTGTTGGTGCAACATGCTTATTGTACGAGGGATGTCCAGCTCCTGGAATAGGCATAACATAATTTTTAAAAGCAAAGAATTTGTTTTACTATAAGTTATTTGATTTCATGTCTGTTTTATAAGGCTTTTAAATTCGTATATAATATTTTTTTTATAACGACCCCCCTTGGAATATTATTAATGTATTATGTTATATTCTTCCCGGCTCATATTGAGATTTAAAAGCATTAATATATCGCAGCCTGGCTTGGAGCAGAAGTTGAAACAGGGGAGTTTTAATCAGTAAGAGTCCAGCACTCCCTTTTGAAGCGAAATCAATGTTTTTTCTTCTTAAAAAAACCGAGTTGCTACAGAGTACCTGACAACGTTCTAGAAAGATCTAAAGCCCAACATCTAAAATGGTTACAACAATTGCACTTTTTGGAAAATAAAAGTTGAGATCATCCGCTAAGTCTTTTGAAAAAACAAGACTTTCGTTTAAAAGGGTGTAAGTGGCGTGTTTACCACAGTACCTGATTATTATCGAGTATATCGTGCAGCAGGTCCGCCGCGAGCGCCGTCCCGCTGCGGCCCGCGCCCTGCTCGCAGCACAGCACGAGCGCTGCGCCCGCGCCGCCGCCGTACAGCGCGCCGCCCGCGCCGCCGCC